CAACCTCGAAATTAAGAAGTGCTCGAAAATCATTGTGTTCGGAGTCACTGCCAACATGGTTGCTCTTTTTGCCCGAGTTTTCTCCCAGGGCTTAACCCCCCTAAAGGTCTTCGAGATTCACTCCAGACTTAACCAGAATGCTCGCACAAGAACCACCGCCCAGTTCAAGGAAGCGGATTCGGGTATTATGTTTGCCTCAGATGTCATCGGTCGTGGAATGGACTTCCCCAACGTCGATCTAGTCATTCAGGTTGGCTTGCCATCGAACGGCGAGCAATATGTTCACCGTGTCGGTCGTACAGCTCGCGCCGGCAACGACGGCCGCGCTATCATCCTCCTCACTCAAGCCGAGTCTTTCTTTATGAAAATGAACCGCCACCTACCCATCAAGCCTCACCCTGACTCCGACAAGGTCAACGAGGACGCTCTCGCGTGTGCTAATAGTGTCACCCAAGCCATGTATGCCGTTGATGAGGAAACCAAGCAACGCGCTTATTCTTCTTACATCGGCTTCTTCGCTGGATCCGGTCTTCTGAAGCAAGTCCGTCTCGACAAAGCCGGCCTTGTCCAACTCGCAAACGACTTAGCCATCAACGGTATGGCCTGCCCCGAGGCCCCACCGATGGACAAGAAAGTCATCGGCAAGATGGGCCTGAAGGGTGTCCCCGGATTCAACTACGCAAGCGGAGCTGATCTGAGAGGAGGCAATTCCTCCCGGTCGCGCCCACGTGAACGTTCTAAGAGCAACGGTCGCGATGCGCTGAGCCCCGGGGCTGGTCGCAAGGACCAAAGAGGCGCTGTCAATAAGCGTGAAGGTCAAAATGGCGGCGGCCGTGGAGGTGGCCGTGGAGGTGGTCGTGGCCGGGGAGGGCGCCGCGGTGGACGTGGTGGCGCGCAGTAGATGACCTCATAAACTTGAAGGCTCTAGAATTGCAGGTTTTCATTTGCATCTGACTAAACTCGAAGGATTAAAAACGGATCTGGCTATTGGTGTTCTGTTTCGGCACTGGTTGATTTTATCGCACTGCTTATAGAATTTCATCGATTTTTTTTAAGGCAACCCTATTAGGGAATGGCCAACTAGAAACATTTCACTGTAATGTATTGGCAAAAAAGAAATAGATAAATCATTCACCTAAGAACTTGAAGGTCATAAAACGTCAAACGACCAGCAGAACTGCTCGTATTCGGATTCTCTTTGGTTTCAGCATCGGGGCTAATGACATTTCCCTGATCAACACACCCAGGTACTGTGAAACACCCATCGGGTTTAGGTTATGCAGTGGCTGAAGGTACTAGTACACTCAGAATATACCCCATACCCCTAGATCCGGATCAGGCACCAGTTGCTGAGAAGATGTGCGTACCTGCATGGAGTGGACTCGGCCCGAGATTCTGCATAGGGTAGGGCAGGCCGACTTTGTCGGAGATATAATTAAGAACGCGAGGGCTCTTCAGCATACGCGGCCCCTTTTGGCTCGGTTTTAGTATACTAATTGGGGGCCGATCTTCAGGAATCTCCATTCTTTCTCGGGCTGTGTGTATGTATGTACTTAATGATTGTTCTTGGCAGTCAATGAAGTTGTCAACTTCGCTCATTGTTGCTAGATTTTCATAGATTCCGTGAGACTTGCTTTCCACTTGAGTACCTCTAAAATTCAAGAGGAACCCTCTAAAAAATGTTGAAGAGAAAAACATCGCATGAATTTGCTACAAGCCTATGTACATATACCAGTCTGGATGTGAGTTCAATTAAAAGTACTAGTATGGGCCACATTCGTCATCTAAATAGTACCTGAGTCCCCACACCTTCTGATCCGCAGTCTTGCAACTTCGGGAGTTCGGGAACGGCGTATCAAGATCAAACGTTGAACATGGATGTGAGTCTTTTTGTGGGACGTTTACTCCGTGGGTCGAGCCACTTGGAACCAGGCCTTTATGTGCAGGACCCGGGTATTTAACTTGAGCATCGCCAGTTTCTAACCGCACATTCACCCTTTCCAGCCGAGAGACCATTCTTACCTCAAACTTCTTTTTGAAGTGAATCCAACCCAATGGTTTCCTTTACCACCAAGGGTCTTTTCTCCCTAGCGATGGGTGCAGCAGTCACCCAAGCTCAGCTATGGGATAAAGTCATTGAGACATCCTACGGACCAGTCGAGGGTTACCAATACTTCAACCAGTCAACTCTTGAGAAGTACTTTGGGACCTCCGAGTCAAATGTGACCGCGTTCTTGGGCATTCCTTTCGCCGCTGATACTGGATACCAGAATCGCTGGAAGGCCCCTCAGCCCCGTGAGCGCTGGAACAAGACATTGAAGGCTACAAGTTTCGGCCCTGCTTGTCCGAGCCAGGGTACTGCCGACATCAGTGAGGACTGTCTGAGCCTCAACATCTGGACCAATGCTGGCACCAAGGATGCAAATCTGCCTGTGATGGTATGGAATCAGGGCTCTGATGAGACCAGTAATGATGCCTGGTGGTATGGTGGAGGTATGGCACTGAAGGATGTCATTCTCATTACCTTCAACCGTCGTGACGATGCCTTTGGTTACCTTGCCCACCCGGAACTTAATGCTGAGGGATACAAGGCTACCGGACACCAAACCTCCGGCAACTACGGTATCCTTGATCAGCTGGAAGTTTTGAAATGGGTGCAGAAGAACATCGCTCGTTTCGGAGGTGATCCAGACCGCGTTACCGTTGCTGGACAGTCTTTTGGTTCATCCCAAGTCTACCATGCCGTCAACAGCCCCCTCTTCAAGGGCTACTTCCACGGTGGCATTTCTGAGTCTGGAATCAGATATCCTTACGACACCTTGCTGGCCGGTCTTGCTACTTCCTACGTCAACATGTCTACTGGTATCGAACACAGCAAGAGCTACATCAAAGCTCACAACGTCTCGACTATTGCCGAGATGCGTACTCTTTCCATGGAATCCCTCCTAACCGGCTCCCAGGACCGTGTCGGTAATGAGTCTATCTGGTGGGTGACTGCTATCTCCGCAGGATATCCATTGATCTTCAAGCCCGTTCTCGACGGCTACGTCCTGCCTGAGAAGTACATTGAGACTCTTCTCAACGGACCTGCCAACGACGTCCCTGTGATTACTGGTAACACCAAGGATGAATCCGGTGCCAGCCCCACAAACGACTACACTGTCGAGGAATATGATTCCTGGTGCAATCTCAAGTATGGCAATCTTTCCAGCCAATACTTCCACCTCTACCCAGCGCATAACAACAAAACCATCGCCAACCAAGCCTGGAATGCCGCCGCTCGCGATACCTCTCTAATTGGCTCTTGGGCCTACGCAACGGAGTGGTATAAGTCTGCTTCCTCCAACTTCTACACCTATTACTGGACTCACGCTCCTCCGGGCCAGGACATGGGCGCATTCCACCAGTCAGAGATCATGTACGCCCTGAACGCACTTTACGCCAACGCCGATACCTACCCCTTCACCGAGAAGGATTACGAGATTCAAGAGCAAATGTCGGCATACTGGGCCAACTTCGCTAAGACTCTGGACCCTAACCAGGGTGGCTCGTATACCGGCAAGGGTTCGTTGTCCCAATGGTCTCCCAACAGTGCCAAGGGTACGCAGAAGGTCATGGAGCTTGGAAACTATTTCGGCAATGTGCCTATCGCAAAGCCGGAGCAGGTGAAGCTCATCATGAACTACTTCCACCAGCAGACACCTTACTAGGTGATTCCTGTGACGTCTACGGGATACAATCCGAGATGATCTTGAAGGGTCTATCTACTATGTATAGTATTGTATGCAGTTGGATAGTCTCTCATCAACCTTTTTTGGGTCCAGTGTTCCACCTTATCCCCGCAACCTTTGTAAAATCTACGATCCTCGATATACTTCGATTCAGTAGCTTGTAGGTGCATGGACTAGAGCGCCCCAGCCATGCGCCGCACCTCCAGCCTCAGCTGCGACGAAGCCAAACAAAAAGCAATCAGTCCTGCAATATCCATAACACATATATCAAACACTTTCCTCTCCATTGTTCAAATAGATAATCGTCAGATAATCGCGCGATCCAGACCGGTCGATCTAAACCTTGCAAGTCGAAGCAGACGGGATACTCCGTACTGTTAGACATTCCGCTCCTTATCCTGCCCCAGCGTAGATCAACCAGTCTTCCGGCGCCTAAATACACCTTCCCACCGCCATTTTCAAAGGTGTATAGACCACCAAAAATCAAAGATCTTCAAAAGCCGCCTCGTGTAGAAGACAGGCATGGCCTGGATGTGATGTCTTCTAGAGTTCCCAGATCAGACAAGAGGGAAAGCGGGGCATTCATGTGCGAGTGTGTCATATGCCCTTTGATCAGCCTTGCATTCGCCTCTCTTGCCCAATGCCAGATCTTAAACCTTTCAAGTGAATCTGTCATGTCCTACCCAAAGAAAGGCTAGCTAAACTAAGGTCAGTGCGTCCCCATACCTACCATACCTAGCAAAGACAAATACGAAGTAGGTTTCCACCGAATCACAAGGGAAAAGACGACAGTCTGCTTTCCTTTTCCCCTCGCTTCTCCCGGCGTGATATTTCCCCTTGCTTGGATTTGCACGTGTGTACATGGCTCCTACAGCTTTCCCACCCGTGGGCCAGCAAAAAATGTGGCGCGTGGAGCTGATTGTACGGCATGATTGTTCGTTGCTTTGTTCAGGCCGCGCCGCATGCCAGCGGCTGCAAGTCTCATGTGGCATGAGAAGCTATTTAAATATCACAAGCTCGGCTCTTCTACGCTGTTCTTTTACGGATCCTCACATTCACCCCCGCTCTGATTTCATATCTCTGGTTCAAGTTCGCCGCTGCTTCTTCAGTCCGGCTTCAATAAATCGGCCACTACCTACTACTAGCCGTCTCCTTTGGAAACGATATATTACAAAATAGGACGGCTTTGTCGATCAGCCGGCTCTTCGTATTTCCTCTATAAATCCTCCTCTCGCCTCACCGCATATTGCCTGCTTTTTTCTGGCTACCATGCAGCCCTCCTCGACTGTCTCTGGTGGTGATACCACAACCACAACCATCGCCGCGACATCGGCTACAAATACAAACACAACTTCCTGGGCTCAGAGCCTTATGACCTCCATTCGAGACTTTTTCACGCAAGAACCGGCCTCGGAACCCGAGTCGGATGCTTTGGCTGGATGGGTTGGCATGCGCAAGGGCAGAGGGAGGTGCCGTTCCGTTGGGGAGGTTCACTGATTGAGTTCCAAGTGGACTTCGAAGTCAACGGACTTTATTTTTGGAGTTTTGGAGGAAAAGGGAACTGTGAACATTTGCTTATTGTTGATACCATTTCGGAGAAAGGTTGCTCTGCGGGACGGCATATTGCAAATTATGACACGCGAATATGAATATGAATATGAATATGAATAAATTCCATGTTATGGTTGGTAGTGTTGGTATAGATACAAGGTCGACTAGAAACACCGCCATACAGTATAAGTACATGTTACAAAGATCTCCTTGGAGATTCAAGGCGCAAATAAGCGCAGTAGTCAAGATCAACCCTAAACATTGACGCGAGTAGGGATCTTGACCGTGCCACGGGTGCGATCATTAGTCGGCACACCGTAGCGGCGACCAGGGGCCCATGGCGCACGGCCATTCTTGCCAACAGTCTCTTCGCTGACGACAGCGTCCTTGATACGGAAGCTAAAGCGGCTATCCTGAGGCTCAATCGTCTCGGTATTTCGGTTACGACGCTCTGCCGCATGAGCGGCACGCTCCTTCTCGGCCTTCTCCTGGCGCTCCAGACGCTCCGTGTGGCGCTGGGTAACAGTACGGCGCTCTTCGGGGAACGCGGCACGGTCACGGGCCAGTTGGACCAGCTGTGGGTGCGGGATACGCACATCCGCCGGCTGCAGGACCTGGCGGGCGTTGTCACCCTTTCCAACCCACTCGATGGAGCCGGGCTTCTGGATGACATCTTCCACCAGGTCGGAGGGGTGTGTGATCTTGTCGCTGACCTTCTTCTCTAGTGTTGGGGCACCGGAGAAGACGCGGCCAGCGTCGACACGGGTAAAAGGTCGCGATTCAGGTACAGGGTAAAAGATCTGGGCGCCAGTGGCAGGGTGGACGGGGAGGTCGTTGATAGGTTCGTGGTAGGTTTGGCGCTCGCCAGCCTGGGCGAGGGGGGGTGGTGGGGACCATTTCGTGCACAGCACGAGCGTATGGCAATGCTAGAGAGTTACCCTGATGGATCGAGATATGTTAGCCATGTCACCGAGCCATGTAATGTATGCATGTGTAAACCAGAGTAGGTGGGATGACAGCAATTGTATCAGTAAAAAGGGAGTTTTAACCAGTCAAGCAAAGCCTGTGTCTTCAAGACTAATCGATTTTTTGGTGTCTCATCATTTTGCGTCCGTGGGGGTGGTGAATGGGAAAATTCAAAGGAAGAAAAGAAAGGGGAGGAATCGAAATTTACCTTGTCTCGTTGCCTCCGCTCCAATTCAACTAATCGCACCACGGCAGCAATGCGGTTCATGTCAATGCCGAGCTCAACACTGACAGCACGTGGACTCTTCTTTTGCTCCTTGACGCGGAAATAAACCTCATTCCGGAGCTCCTCGCTGAGGACAGGCTCGCTGATGAAGGTCATGTTGTTCGGAAATGGTCTGTTGGACTGGCTGCCATCCGCCATCCTCAAGTAGTTGGTCTCGCCAGGGGTGTGGTGCTTGAGACCGGATCCTTGGGTAGACAGCCATTCAAACATTTGCCGACGAAGCTTAGTCTGTGGGGCCGGGGTGGCAGAGAAATAACGGGAGGATTGTGATGAGGAGCATAGAGAGGGAATAGAGGATGATGTGGAGGAGGAGGAAGATGTGATGTAGGGGAGAAGATTGGACACGCTCCGGCTCTGTACCCGGGGGGCCATCTTGGATGTGTTGAGAACGACCCCGGGAAAGCCGGGAATCGTGGAATAAAACAATATTAAATGCGATATTCCAATTGCTGTACTAGAATACAGCAAGTAGAGCAGTCCTCAGTAGCCAATGCGGCAATTAGTGGATGGGAGGTCGTGAGGGTTGGAGTTATGTTTGTGGCAGAAACTTTCCGGCGCGGAAAAGTTGACTTGAGTTGTGGAGTCACGTGATCATCGTATACTTATGGGGCATCTCAGGAACGTCCTGGAAATTAGATAGCGATCAACAATCCGAATCAAATATAGTTACTGTGGAAATATCTGGGACGGTTATTATTGTCTAATGATAGCTATTACGTTAGGATTATATTGGTTTAATAGACTTTTCACCATCGTGAATATACTAAGCGGACCTTGGGAATTTCTCCCGTTAACGCTATATATACTTCTCAGATTAGTCGCTCTAATAATACTACTAGTGGTACATTGAAGTTGAACCTGAACCTCAGAGCTCGAAATCATTACATCCGAGTCCACTAGGCTTCAAACTTCTATTATCGCCAGGCGAATCTCAGTTTTAGAGCTTGAATCCGTGATGGTTTTTCAAGGTCTGAAATCACTTGGTCTAACCTCCAGGGCTCCAAGGTTGAAGGCAGTACCTAATGGTGCTAATAGGAAACGCATTCCAAGTGAGATTTACCCTCAAGTTAGCCACATGAATTTTTACTTTACATAGCCACCTAAGAAAAGACACAGGACACCTTGGAAAAAAACTTGAACGTGTAAGCTTTCTTCAAGTTCCATTCCGAGTCTTATTCACAACGCCCGGCCACTCAGAACCACTGACATGATTGAGACCTTCTTAACTAACTATTTGGTATAATTCACAATTCTGTGGCAACTATTATGCATACAGGTAAGAGAAGCAAGAAATAGGCTACCCGATAAAAGTCCATTGTATCAAGTACAAATAAAGGCGAATGTTTCAGCATCAGCATCGGCTCCATCAGCAAACAGTTCCCTTCAAATTGAAGATAACTAATAAGAGGAAAACAAGAAGAGAAAACAAAATAAAGACACCTCATTTTATCCATACCCAGATCCAGAAGATATCAAATATGAAAAACAGAAGAGAAGAGAAGAGAAGAAACGACCTCGAAATAAACACGCGATAGCGCCGACCTCCAATCCCCAATCTGCGATGCCCTGAAACAATAAACCGCAACGCCCGGTAGTAAGAGGAGATAAAACGATAGGAAAATTCTGGACGAGATCGGAAGCGAGTTTATAGCGTCTTCGCTGGTAAAGCAATGTCCATGTCCATGCCATGCCACATACACCATGCAACCATCCGACGAGGTGATGCAGATAACCGAGGCGCCGCGCCGTTTCTCTTGTTTGTCCATCGCTGGCCGGGAGTGTATGATAGGACGAAAAATAGGCAAGATGAAAACCCCCTGCCGTCTCCCTTGACACCTGTGGAATTAGATAAGAAATTGAGGCTACAAATATCCCGTAGCTCATGACATCCAATTGACAAGCGAAGGATGACTAAGAAAGAAACCCTAGAGAAGAGAAAGAGACGATAAGAGATTTGGGCAAAGTTAAAGCCATGGGAAATTAAAAAGGAGAGAAGAAGACTTCTTCGAATACTTGCATAGGTTGGAAGGGAGTTGATAATTGCAAAAGCGCAAGGTAAATAGCAAAAATTCCATTTCCGGTTCGCGTTGAAAATGCATTGATAAAAACATGACAAAAGCGCAGAATAGGATGTAAAGGGGAATCACGGTTTGAAATAGGCGACACCGCGCGTCAAGCTCTCGGACACAAAGCCATTGACAAAAGAAATCTCGAGCTAATTGGAAAAGTCGTATAGCCAAAGCCGAGAGAGAGCGCGCGGGCGAAGGAAAAAAAAGGAAACATAATAAAACAGAAATAGCAAACAAGAAAACGCAAGGGTATGAGGTGGTGATGATAGAACGCAAATAGTGGACAGAAGAATGCGCCGTGCAAGCGCTTGTTGCACACCGACCACAGTAAGAATACAAACTTGACGATGACCTGAAATGCAAATCCTCCCAAGGGAAACAATAAGTGGAAAAAGGAATGGTAAAAGTGCGCCCGAGTCCCCATGCAAAAGAAAAGCAAAGCACAAAGTGGTAAGAAAAAGGGGAAAAAAGGAATCGCAACACGCAAGAGCCAGAGATACTGAATAAAAGAGACATTAGAGGCAAAAAAGACAAAAAAGCAGAGCCCGAATCAATACTCCCGAGAGGTATGCAGCCGCCGAATGCTGATCTAACTCGCGAAAAGAAAGGAACCCCCAATGCGCCAAATACCCCATAGTTCGTTCATCAAACATGCCGGACATTATCTCAAATATAATGCTTTTGAGCCTCAACGGCCCATCATGTAATCGGGGTAGAAGGTATTGAAGCCGTTCATATTCGGTCCCGCGTTGTTGTTGGGAGTACCACTAGGCGGCGGCGACATCATCATTGAGTTACCTCCGTTGGTCCGGATCCCCAGGCCCGAGTTGTGATTGAAGTTATTGTTACCGATCATGGCGTGAGGGTGACCCTGGCCTTGACCTTGGCCGCCGTGGATGGGATTGCCACCACCGTTTCGCTGTGGCATAGGCATCGCCAGACCAGGGGGCGCAGCCAGGCCGGGAGGTGGGCCGCTAACGGAGGAAAACATATGGCTGTGCATGCTGCCTAGGTTGCTGCCAGTAGGAGTTCCGCCCGGTCCCGAGAGGGGATTCCCTGCGTTCATGCTACCAGGCTGGCCTGAACGGACGCCCAGAGGGTTCTTGGAGAAACTCAAGCGAATGCCGGTCTTGACGCTATTAGACAGCTTGTATCCGTATAATTCGTTGAGTGCTTTGCTGGCCATGGCGACCTCGTCAAATTCCACGAAGCACATAGGGCCATTCTGCTTGTTACGGAAGCAAAGTCGCTTATAACCGCGCTGTTTGGAGAAGAGGGCTTTCAGCTCTTCCTCCGAGGTGTCTGGTGGCAAGTTACCGACGTAGAGGGTGTTGCATGGTGGGTTAAGGTCGTTGGGATTCGCAGCAGGCAAGCTATGACGGGGTGTATGTTGGCTGCCATAGGGGAAGCTATGACCATGGCTGTGGGTGGCTGAGCTAGGGTAGGCAGACTGAGGACCGTTGCTGCTCATGCGTTGCCGAGGATCACCAGAGGCATAGTTCGGGAGGGGCGGGGATGACATGGCTGTGGAGAGAGACATATTGGCAAATCGACCGGTCGGGATCTGGGGGTTGGTTGACCGACGCGGGGCCGAGACAGATGCTGAATGTCCACTTTCCGCGTAGCCCACCGGGTCCTTGAGCAACTCGCCTGTCTCTTCATCGGGATCCTCATCGATCATGGACTTGCCTGTAACTCGAGGAAGATCGCCAACACCGTTTCCAATCGGAGATTGTGGGGAGAAGAGGTTGTGCAGACGTGAACCGGACTCGGACGCAGAGGGAAGGCCTTCGCCGATGGGTTGGTTCGATGGGTTGGAGAGTCTGGAAATCTCCAGGCTTTGGAAGGTACCATTGAAACGCGATGATTGACGCGAGCCAGGCAACAATCCACGGGTCGCGGTGTGATCGATTGTGTTGCGACGCGTGTTGGAGAGATTGGAGCCGACCGCGCCAGGATACATCTCCACCACCATTTTCGCGTCGTTTTTGGAGTTTGGTTTACCGTCCAGGAGGGCGCGCGCTTCTTCGGCGGCGGGGAGGGTATTGAAACGGGCGATCGCGCTCAGGAAACCATCGTCCTCCGGATGGTCGGAGTTGACGAAATCGGCGTCGACGAAATCCTTGGCGAAAAGGAGCATGCTGCGAAGAGCTTCGCGACTGGTGTTGCGCGGAAGTTTGCGCATCAAAATCGCGCCGCTCCCGCTGGGGGGTGCGGCCCAGGCCATTTAGGGCCTGGACGTTGCGGTCGGAATCACCGAGGCGCATTCCGCTGTCGAAAGAAGAGGAGCCGATAGGCGAGAAGGGATGACTGAAAGTGGGAGCTAGAGAACTGGGCGCTTGCGAGACGGTTGGACTGTACACGTCGGTCGACATCGCATGCTGATTTCTCACCGGCGCCTTAGGAGGGAGTTGTGTGGGCGATGAGCCAGAGGAAACCGACTCGGTGCGCTGGGTCGTTCCGAAAGAGCCAGGACTCGTGCGAGTGGACTGGTTCGAGCTGCTGCTCATACCTCACGAGGTGTTGAGATGGTGTCGAGAAATTTTGCTTTTTCCCTTGTCGCGACACGGACGAAAGTTCAACAGTCCCAACAGCGCAGCGACGGAACAGGAGTCGCTTGTAACGAATTTCGGATCAGAGCGCGCGAATAGGCGATCGGTATAGAAAGCGGCGCGCGAAGTTGTGGAAATGAAGTTTGAGGGGGGGGGGTCGGCGAATGGAGCGATTTCAATCGAAGGTCGCGAAGTCGAGGCACCGTTTCATCGGTATGCGACAGAGCGCGTGTGGGTTCAGGTGGAAAGACCGGGGAAGGTGGTATGTCGACAGAAAGTAGAGAGAAGAAGCGAAGTTGCGCGACGCCAAACAGGAAAGATGGATGCAAAAAGGGGGGGGTGGTAGAGGAGGAGGGGGAGGGGGATGGAAAATGATGAAAGAGACAAGAGAGAGAGAGAGATAGGAGGGAGGGGGGCAAAAGGAAGGGGCAAGGAGAGCAGGGAGAAGAGAGAGAAAAGAGTCCGGAACGGTCGAGGAGTCCACCGGTGCCAGTGCCAGATCCATGGATCTGCTTCACGACGCGCCTCAAACGGGGGGTCAGGAGTACATGTACCATACAGATGGGTGAGACCCCTGTCGTTGCGCAGGGATCCATACTGGAGTTGGGTACTCACCCCAAAAATTACCATACACGGTCACTCCATTACACCTCTCCCAGATGGGAACCTGGCCGCTTGCAGAACGTGGGAAAAGTGCGTGTCCCTAGTGTGGAATGCTGGAGATTCTAGAATTGGTGTGATGGGTTACAATGGTCTGTTCTGCCTAGTCCGAATCACAGTAGGTCATGGTCAAGGCTTTGAGTACATTCTCTACACTTGACATACCATGCAGCAGCCTACAGCCTACAGCCTATTCTAGGGAACCATATCATATAGATACGAAGTATCTATAAATGCACAGACTGCAGACTGCAGTCTGCAGTTCTGTCTCTCCTTATGCACTCGAACCCGGTACCTTAGCCACTAGCAAGCCTAGCATCCTAAATATCACACTAAGGGGAGACCAGAGTAGCCCACTACCAGTATAGTAAGCCTCGGCCATAGCTCGTCCCAGGCAGCCGGGAGCTGACATTTCAACGGACATGCAGCAGGCCAGAGGTACCAGGGAGTAGGGACACGACTAGTATGTACTATTAACAGGGGGGTAAGGCATCACCTCGGCTCTGCGGCAATCAGCGCCATCGATTGGACTTCGGCCTCGACCCCGATCGGCGCCTCGAAGTCGGGATGGAACGAGCATGCTCTGCTGCTGCTTACTGACCCGCACAGGGCCAGGGCCTGGGTTCCTTGCACATCCACCTCGTGTGAACCCGTCAAAGAGCCCGCAACCCGCAGCGCCGCAAGCCAACAAAGGGGGCAACGCGAGGGTGGGCACACATCAGGGCGTTCGGGTGACCGTGCACATTCCGGGTTGATCTGGGGAAAAGAAAGGCAGCTGACCGCTTTGCCTATGACACAGAATCAATCAACAGCCCCAATATTCAATACAAGTAGTACATCTCTCATGGGTCCTCCCCTACAATACAAACACACAACAAAAGCCCCTGCTGGCGCGCCCATGGAATCTACAAACTCAAAAGGACGGGCGATCCTCCAGGGTGGACCAATGACTGTACTCGTCATCCCGATTCCTCTTCGGATTGGACCGCCTGCGCGACTGGCTTGGGCTTATCCAACGCCGCCAGTTGGTGTGGTTGGGCCGTGGATGTAGCGAATGGCTGTGTAGGCCTAGTCGTCCCTGAGTTTGGCCGTGCTTTCCTGATTCGCGACTTGTGTTGTGACGCGTTTATGACCGCTGCTAGCTAGTTAGCTACAGTGGCACCTGCCCATACTCTGTACTCTGTACTCGTACTCGTACTCTGTATACTGTGTATACCCTAGGGTATACTGTACCTTGTACCGATACGGAGCAGGCCGTTGCTTTTTCCCCACGCGCCCTATTGTCCATGTGTGTACGGAGTACGGATACGGAGTATGGTAGTACAAAAGTATAGCACTCCCCCCATCACATCCCGGTTACTTTCTGGAATAGACTTTTGCAAGGCCAGATTCATTTCGAGGCTGTCACATAATATACATAGGGCTAGATAGACGGGATCCGAAGGCCCAGGGTTTCCCAAAGAGTTCACAAAACGCCGCGAAATGCCAGTCGAAAAAGAGAAGAAAAAAGTACACGCCGCGTCCACCGCCAACTTATTCTGGATGGGATGCCGCATGAAAAGCTTTTGCACAGCAATGTAGTCATGCAACTTGAAATCAGGTCCCGTGGGAGACAAAGTGGCTAGGCTATGGTTCCGACATCATTTCATGCCTTGTTGTAGGTTTTGGGCTTCTCTTCCACCAGACGAGCCTAGAGAAATTGTTAGCAACAGTCTTTCAAAATGGGAATGGGGGCACGAAAGAATGAAGACGAGATAACCATGTCTATGGCCATCCATCCCATTCCATCCTATCCCATCCTTTTTGTAGGATCAACTCGACTCACCAGGTTCAATAACTTCCACACAGGGTCACTGGCCTGCGCTCCCACACCGAGCCAGTACTTCGCTCGTACTTTGTCAAGAGTAATATCTTTGTATGCGCGCGGCGCGGAGACCGCGTCGGATGCATCGGTGCGAGCGGCCGGGAGGGGATTGTAGGTGCCGATGACCTCGAGGGGCTTGGAGCCACGGGCAGATCTATAGTAGCCAGGTTAGCCATGCTCAATTCCATACTGTTGTAGCAGCAATTGTCGATTGAATCTGCACATCCAGCCAATCCATTCGGAGCGGCGGTTTGCGCGAAGTTCAGATTGTCTATGCTGTCGGAGGAAAGGCAGATCGCAAGTCGGGATCGGAGTGGATTGGAGTGGGAGCGGACGCACCGGGCTTGCGCAACAACAATGTTGTAAAAGGGCTGATGCTTGTTGCCGAAGCGTGCCAACCGGATTCGAAGGACCATGGCGGCGGTTGTGGTGTTCGTGGTGGTAATGATCGAATTCCCGGAATACTGAAGATCAACTTTTGCGGAGTTCAAACTTAGGAGGTTCGGGGCTGGGTTTTTCCGAGTTCCCAACTAGGAATAGCGGGGCCCGCGGGGATGATGCAACGAGGTATACATCAACCTGCTTCTTGTCTTTTCAATTAAATAGGTTTGAGACACGCTGCTTTCTTTCACACTGCATTGAATTGAAAAGGATAACCGAAACGTTTGAATGAGCGGAACATACATTATATGTTCCACCGAATCCTCTTCAGACGCTTCTCTCTCCCCACCGCTCGTCGTTACAGCAAAACCGCCGCAATGTCGTTAAAGGTATGCTTGAAAAGAATCATCTGGACGCAATTCATCTAACTCATGAATAGGCAATCTCCGCCAAGGATGCTGCCTCTCTGGACAAAGACCTCATGGAAATGGGCGGGTGGTCTCTAGACCAACTGATGGAACTAGCCGGCCTGTCCGTATCGCAAGCAGGTGAGCGAGCACTCACTATATCGCCAAGTACAATCGATCGAATCCAATTCTAACATAACAAGTCTGGCGCATCCACCCCCTTTCAGCAGGAAAGAATGTCCTAGTAGTCTGCGGACCAGGAAACAATGGTAAAGCTCCCCCCATCCACCTAGCTTCAGGTATCACAAACCCAGCACCCAGTTTACAAAGCTAACCCAACCACCAAACAGGCGGCGATGGCCTCGTAGCCGCAAGACATCTAGCCCAATATGGCTACAACCCCTCAATCTACTACCCGAAACAAGGCAAAAACGAACTCTACACCCGCCTACGCACCCAACTAGAAAACCTCTCTATCCCATTCATAACCGACGACAACTTCAAAGCCGCACTAGGAGAAACATCCTTCCTAATCGACGCAATCTTCGGCTTCTCATTCGGCGGCCCCCCTTCGCGATCCATTCCCAGCCATAATTTCACAAATCGAAGAGTCAAATGTCCCTGTGCTTAGCGTTGACGCCCCCAGTTCTTGGGATATCGCGACAGGTCCGCCTGAGCAGGGTCCTGGGGCGGGATTCATGCCTGCTGCTTTGATTAGTCTTTCTGCGCCTAAGCCTTGCGTGAAGTTTTTCTCTGGAAGACATTTTATTGGTGGTCGCTTTTTGACGCCTGCTATTGCAGAGAAATATGGGCTTGATTTGCCTAAGTATCCTGGTATTGATCAGGTGTTGGAGGTTGGGGTGAATGCCGATGCAAGGTTTTAGGAAGGGGATTGGAAAGGACCCTATCACCTCTCCTTCTTGTGTGAAGTATGAGACTCCCCTATTAAGTAGGAAGGATTTCTTGAGGTTATCAGATAGTTTCTGTGATGAGGGTGCAGATCGTAATCGGGAAAGAGCAGCCCCATTACGACCCTAGATTTATAATGACATGCGAAAAAAAAAGGATAACTATGAGAATGTAGAGTCCATTGCGTGGTCGTCGTTAAGAGGTAATAGTGTGAATCTATCTATGTGTTTCTCAAAGAATAATTTTTCTTTAGAGAGCCTCTCTCATTTCCTGAATAATACCCTTCACCCGTGGTTCCTTGCCAGCACCTGATCCCGAGACCCGAGAGAGAACACTGTCGACTTCGTAAATTTCCTTCGCGGCACTCTTGACCTCGGCTCCCTGAGCTTTGAGAATAGTGCCCAGGGCGACAAGTCCACGGTAGACCGCTTCGGAATCCTTTTCGTTGACGATAATCTTAGTCAACTCCTCGAGAAGGATCAGGGCCTTCTCCGCAGATTCAGTGGTTTGCTCTCTGCCCTCGGACGTTATGTAGACAGCAAAGTTAATGTAAAGGGTTGTGATGGCGATGGTAAGGTTGCGATTCGGTGAATCGCCGCTATTAGCCAGGGCGGTTTTGACACCATTCACGACCAAGTCGAACGTGTTGATGGCTAGATCCCGACCAGCGGCGGTCTCGAATAGGTTGGCAAATGTGCGGACGACAAGCATGGCGTTGTTAGGATTCAATGGTGCATCAAAGGCACCGCTGGCTAGCAGGCCTGATACCAGATTCTCTCCGTTATACTCTGTAGTTGCGACAAAAGGTGCTGCAGCGGCCAGCAAGCGAAGGAGATCCAGCCCCGGAAGTCTGTTGGCGGCCGGCCATGAGGTGGCGGTCCTGAAAACCAATGGGATGCCGGCTTCGAGAACAGGCGAGTCAGCAAGTTCCTTGCCAGATTCCAGTTGGCCACATAAAGCGACGACTTGGTCGATCTCGGAGGGAACTAATGTAGAGCCCTTTTCACCCTCTGAAATAAGCTTGCCGTTGATTTCTTGGAGCTTTTTCGTGATGACCTTAAGGTTGGCTGTCTTAATTGAGAGATATGTTTTTTGGGGGAGAACCTTGGGGAGTGGTTCAGGAGCGGGTTGCTGGGCTTCTTCTGACGCAGCATCTCCGGGTCGGTATCGTCGCTCTGAGCCCCAGGGATCTCCACCTGCCTGTGTTGGTTCCTGGGACTGACCGATGACGGCTCCCTGTGTGTTCTGCGTGATGAAGTTGGCAACTTGATCGAGGTATGAAATAGGCAGCTCATTGTCTCCAATGAACTTGGTGGCTGCTTCGTATGGGTTTTGGGAAACATTATATGGGAGCTTGAGAGGTGGCTTTCCGTCCTCAATATCGACATCGAACACATAATCGTAGTCGTGTCCCAGATATTCTGTCTTGCGCCCACTGCTTCCCGCCGATTCAACCACAGTACCCACCGCTATCCATTCCTGGGTTGCGGATGACCAGGTGTGGGCCGTGACACTGCCATCTGGCTGGTTAATCATCTGAACCTGACCTTCCTTCGTTCCAGACTTTTGCTGGAGGAACTCTGGACCGGGTAGTTGCTCTTTGTTTATCTTTCCAACCTGCTCGGCTGGAATTGAAGACTCCTTGACTGCTTGATCAAATTGTTGGACAGCTTCCGGGGAAGCGATTCGATCTGGGCTTCTAGTGAAGACACGCGTCACACGATCGCTAGCACCAGTGACAATATCACCATTCTCACCACATGCAGCAACACTCCAGACCGAGATCGCAGGGTGAGTAATGGTCTGAACGCACTGAGTTCCATTCCATACCTTGACAGTGCGGTCCTCGCCAGAGCTCACCAGCTCTCCGGATGGCAGAGCGGCAAGCGAGTAGACGAAGCTCTCATGGCCATGCAGAGAAGCCACTAAACGTCCATCCAGGGTGTAAAGTCTGATCGTTCCATCGTTGCTAGCGGAGGCAAACTGTGCGCCTGTTGGATTTGATGCTGGAACCTTACAAAGGGCCCTGACGACGTCATCGGAGTTCTTGACGCTTCCTCGAAGATTGCCGGCGGTATCAAAAATGCGGATCATTTTGTCGGCGCATCCTGAAGACAGTGTGTGAGTCAAAGCTCTTGGGTAAAGACATATAGAGAGCGGGTTAGATGTGAGGCATCAATCTTACCGGTGATAATGGTGTTCTCGTCGTAGGCCAACACAGCCCAAACACTTCCTTCATGACCATCAAGAATTCTATCGGTCTCCCATTGACCAACTTTCCAAATCCGAGCAGTCGAATCCCAGCTACCACTGACAACCCACCGAGAGTCGGGAGACACATCCAATGCGCAGATGTTATGGGCATGGCCCAGTAGCATTGCATCGGCATTGTCGTCTGCTGATTTCCCGGGTTGTCGAGCCTCGATGATGGTATCCTGGCCACCAGAAAGGACAAGGCCTTCGGGATATTGGGCTGTGGGAGGGAGGTAGGCTAAGGTGTTGATGAACGCCTGGCCATGGGTGGTGATAGTGTAATCGTAAGTTGGAGGGGGGATGCGACAAGCTTCCAGAGTCGGACAGTGGCATCACGGGAAGCTGAGAAGACTGCATTCGGGTTTGGGAAGACCACGGCACGAACCTGAAGTCAGGGGTAGTGGTCAGTATGTTGTGTCGGGGGTACCTTCGGTGACCGAGGTGGACAGCGGGGGGGGAGGGGGACTAAGACTGGGACTTACATCATCGCCATGGCCCTCAAGGGACGCGGAGAGCTTGAAGTCAGGCATACATACAACTGGGGGAGTTGCGGATGAGAGAGACCAAAGGAAATGGACAAAAGGAGCACTGATTAATGCAGAGCAGCGTCGCTGGCCGTTGTTGTCCTTTAGTCGTTCTGGGGTCCCCGCCTGCGCATCATATGATCACGTGGGCGGTGGAGCTATGACGAACCTGCTAGAAGGAAAGAACGACTTGGCTGGCATCTTTCTTTTGGATTCTGTACTATGCAGATACGATTTCAATTCCCACTGATTATATTACATAGTTTAATAATGTTCTTAGTTCTATGTAGCTGTCTCATAGCCATAACACATCACCAAGTTTCCATGTCTGCCGTGAGCTCTGCGGTCTCGGATCTACTATGGATAGGGTGGGACATGATCAGCTGTGGTAGCAACTACTGTAGTAAGAAGCAGATATTTCCGAGCCTAGCAAAGTGTATGCTATTTACCACCCTCATAGAGTCATAATTGGTTATGTACAATAAAAGATAATACCAATTCAATTGAATTGAATTTGAATTGAATCGAATTGATTGATCAATGTCCAAGGGAAACCATCGCCAGCACCAGGAGGCAGCCGCGGCTAACCGGATTGGGATTAGTCACGCACATTACCTCAGCGTGCAGGTGACCAGGGACCCTCAATTATATCGGTATCGCGAGTGCATCTGCGAAATCGACTCTGCTCTGTGGACTCTGTGGACTCTGTGGACTCGACAGTGTAGTTGACGCGGGCATGATCCCACTGGTACTGTTCGCTTCTTCTTCTGTACTGATGACTTGACGACCCTGACGAATCTCTTTTTTTACTTTTCTTACCACACACTCTGCTCACTCTCCTTCGCGGCCCGATTTGGTCACGCGGTTTCTGCTCTTGAACTCTCGACCTCGAATCGTCGCATCCTCACTTTCTCGATTCCTCTAAACTTTGAACTTTCTCCCTCTTCCGTTGTGACGGATCTTCTCTGTTCAAACATGGCGTCCGGTGAGTCTTTCCTTCAAATAACCCGATCATGCACCTTCCCATGAAACTAATGTTTATGCAGATATTCCCAAGGTGGTTCCTCTCACCTGTCACGGGCATTCGCGCCCCGTGACCCATTTGAGTTTCTCTCACACTATCGACGAAGATGAATACTACATCATCTCGGCCTGTAAAGGTATCTTGCACGATTCTACCTTTTTTTTCTCTCCCTTTCCGGTTTCGAGCCCCACCATGGATGAGGCTAATCTCGATTCGCAGACAACAATCCCATGCTGCGAGATGGCATCACAGGTGACTGGTATGATGAGCCCCTTTGCACTGCTGCAAAGTGTTGCAAGAACCACCAATTAACATCTGATCAGGATCGGCACATTTCTCGGCCACAAAGGTGCTGTATGGCAATCCCGGCTATCTGCCGATACAGCCATTTCAGCCACTGCAGCGGCAGACTTCTCTGCGTAAGTTTCAACTCAAAAATGCTGGCAAAAAAAAATAGCAAGCAAATGGCCCTCTGAATGAATATCTGGTATTGACAACTCCATTAGCAAGGTCTGGGACACCTACACAGGCGAGTGTCTTCACACTCTTCAACACGCTCACGTTGTGCGATCAATCGCTTTCCCCATCCAAGCGAACCCCCAAGTTCTCGCAACAGGTGGTGCAGAGAAGAAACTTCGCATCTTCGATCTTTCCCGCAGCTCTGGCGGCGGCGGTGGTAGCAACACTTCCTCCCCTCCCTTGCCACCAACAGGTGGCGAGAATAACAGCACAGGAACAAGTTACGAAATTGGCCCCGGCGTTCACGGCGGTACCATCAAGTCTATCGTTTGGAACAGGGACTCCAACATCGTGACGACCGCTGCTGAAGACCGCAAAATTCGCTGGTGGGACCTGCGCTCGCGCCGTTCTGTTGTCGAGACAGCCGTTGAAGGAAACATTGGCTCCTGCGAACTGAACACCTTGGCTACTCGACCCGATAACCCCGGCGTTCTAACCGTCGCTGCTGGAAAGAGTGTGTATCTTTTTGATGCAATTACGCCGGGCCGCCTACTGAAAAAGGCCGATTTCGGATACGAGGTTGCCAGTGCCGCTGTCAATACCGAGTCGGGCCGGTTTGTTACCGGTAGTGCCGGGGACACCTGGGCCCGAGTCTACGACCTGAACACCGACGAAGAACTCGGTATGTTCCAGCTTCAGCTTTTTTTCCTTTGCTCCGATTAATACTAACGCTCTTTTTTCTTTCGCACAGAGGTACAAAAAGGACACCACGGCCCCATCTGGTCCGTTAGCTTCTCACCCGACGGCAAACTCTATGGAACCGGTAGCGAGGATGGTACGATCAAGTTGTGGAAGGCCTGCCGGGAGCCGTATGGCCTCTGGCGTTGACCAGGAAATGCATAGATTCGGTGCTTTATGGGACCATTCATAGAATCAGTGCATTCAGACGACAACGACTGAGCATACACTCTCTTGCCAGAATTCAGTCCCAGTTTTCAGCCTTATCAAAAAACAAGCTCATTCACTACTACACAGCCCCTACAAACCAATACATTAAAGCAGCAAGTCACTGTAGGAGGGGGAGATTGGCAACTGAAGGAATCGTAGCTTTGTACTTAAGCTCCTATGAAAGTAACCCTCCCTGAAGCATGACCTAGAGCTAATACACGACCATGCGTCGCTGAGCAGGTTGGCCGAATCTTTGGAGGAAGCCACATCACCTTTTCGCCATTCAAAGCTATCCACTCTCCTTCTAGCAAGGAAATTCCCCGTTTTTTCTCCGAAAGGCTAGAATCACAACTAGCAGACCTTGACTGAGGATTGAAGTTTCCGATATCATCCGTGAGGAAAGATCCGTTCTGGAAAAAGTCCAATCCATCGACTCCTTTATCCATATCCCGATCTTTGATGTCATCGACTGTCCAAGTCTGCTCTTTCGCACCCGTAATTATATTCCAAATTAAGATCTCCTCATGACCAGAGTACCTGCACGCTAGTAGCTTGCCGTCAGATGAGAAGATTGCCCTTTTAATCGGATAAGAATTGCCCTTTAAAGTGTGATAGAGCACACCTGTAGCAATGTCCCGAAGAACAACCGTATCATCATACCCACATGCCAATGATTTGCCGTCAGGGGAGAATTCCAGCTGCAAAATTGGGGATTTATGTTGAAAAGACTGTTGCAGTGTGCCCGTCACCGTGTCCCAAAGTCGAACTTTGTTGTTTTGACTGGAAATTGATACTAGAATCTGGCCGTCGTGCGAGAATTCCATTCCCAAAATCGCGTGCCTATGCCAAACAGTGTGTTCCAACGCGCCGGTTGCCGTATTCCAAAGCCGAACAGTCTTATTCTGTCCAGAGATCGATGCGAGAAGTCTACCATCATCCGAAAATTTGACTGATTGCACGGAGTCTAAAGAGTCTTCTTGTCGTCTTTGTTGTTGTCGCAGACCGGCCGCGACATCCCAAATTCGGACAGCCTTATCACTGCAGCCAGATGCTAACAGCTGACTATTGGGAGAGAATGAAACGGCATCTATATACCTTGAGCAGCATTCCATAGTGCTCTGCAAAGTTCCTGAGGCTGTATTCCAGATGCGTACTTTTTTGTCACTCGAGCTAGATGTCAACAATTGGCTATCGTGAGAGAAGGCCACTGATTTAACATCGTTTTCTCCCGAATCGGCCTCGAAGGTGCGGTGTATTGCGCCTGTTGTCATGTTCCAAAGGCGAATTCCACCTCCACTAGAACCGAATGCCAAAAGCCTTCCGTCTGGTGAGAATGCAACGGAAGCAACGGACTTTACGAACCCTGCAATCGTCCGCTGTAACGTACCGGCTGCTATTTCCCAAAGACGAATAACGCCAGTCACGCTGCCAGATGCTAGCAATAATCCATCCGGGGAAAACGCCACGGAAGAAATCCAACCAGTTTCATCCTGGCCCGCGAGAGCTTGCAGTCGTGTGCCAGCTCCAGTCTCCCATAACTCAATTTTGCCATCATAATGACCGGAGGCGAGGATTTGACCATTAGGCGAGAACGCTATCGAGAGGATTTCGGAATGATGACCCTCCAGAATGAGAATTAAAGCGCCAGTTGTTGCATCCCAGAGCCGCATCGTGTGGTCTGTCGAACCGGACAATACCAGTCGGCCATCTGGGGAAAATGCCACAGAGGTAACCGATTCTAGATGGCCTTCTAAGGTTTGATAAAGCACGCCTGTACTTGTGTTCCAGAGCCGGATTGTTTTGTCGCGGGAGCCAGACGCTAGGGATTTTCCGTCGGGAGAAAATGCTAGCGAATTTACGATATCACAGTGTCCTTCTAAAGCCTGAAGCTCCGGGCTCCAGTTTGCTTCGACCCACGGCAACTGAGAAGGCCAACTGGGGATATCGTTGGAAAACGTTTTGCGAATAATTGATTTCTCAGGCGCGAATATAAGCGCCGCGCAATAAATCTGCAGCGGTGCCTTGGCGGCTATCTGATGGTTGCTCATGATAAAGCGTTTTGCATCATGCAAAAAATCGGAAATTGAGGAATCTTGTTCAGACTGATAAAATGAGCAAGTATGGATTTAATGTGGCATGTATGAAACTTACCATGAATATACTCTGCAGATGACCCAGAGTCTCAACCGTTTCGTCTATGAGACCAAGTAGACTCATTGCTTCCAGCCAGTACAGAAAATGGCTCTGGAGGAACAGAAATGCATCCTGCATTAGAGGAGTGTTTTGTGCCGTGCCCTCCACCAGATGATGAGTCCAATATTGACAGGCATATTTGAGTTCCCGGGGGAAAGTGCTGTTCAATAGTTTCGGGTTCTACCTCAGCATGTTGGATTCCATCACTCAAAAGCCCACACATATTTCTCTTGAGGCGATTATGGCAAACAAAAAGACAGCGAGCTGCCAAATTCCGGTGTGCATCTTTCTCATCAACCCAGAATGGTGACCTTTTGTGTAACTCCCGATCCAGGAGAAAGTCACGAAATGAGAGGTGGAACAGTCGTACAGGCGAAAACTCATTTTCTGGCACGCTTAAGACGGAGTGTAGAGCATTCAATCTTGAGGAGATTCGGCCTTTTCGAATATCAATAAGCCTTGACAATACTAAAGCCGAAAGAGGAGCTTTTAGCGTCACAATAGTCCCGACCACTTGCTGAAATTCGCTGATAATCTGCTTCCTTTCTTTGTCTCCTTGATTGACGAGGAGCCTGTTTAATACAGGAAGATATGTGCCGTCCAATTTGGATACATCCAATGAAGATCCGTCACTGCGGTATGAAAGGATCTCATTCATACTTTCTTCTGGATCCCAATAAGAATCCTCGAGTATACGGCATATAGTGGCAGCGTAAATGAAAAGTGGGACAGATAATGCCACTAGGCTCTGGACTTTTTCACTTCCCGGCCAATCCTGAGGAAGGAAACGATCCTTTCGAATTCTCGATAGCCGATGATCCAGAAATAATAAAATATCACTCTCTATTGTTGTCTTTGGGACTGTATGTAGAACAAATTCGTTATATTCGTAAGCACTCATGTCGGAGAAACCGAGACGGATTGGCAGTTCGGGCCTGCTAGTCAAAAGGATACGCAACTGTAAAGAGCGTAGCTCCTTTAAGCACGGCAGCAGTCTAAGGACTAGCCGCATGTCATTGTCTACCTCACACTCATCTAGTGCATCGATGACTATGACCACTGATGAGACTGTTGGGTCAGATGATTCAAGCGGCTTATACTTTACGAGGGGCCGAAGAAGAAGTTTATCAAACTGCTCCGCCAGCGCCTTCGTCGCGATATCTGGATTGTCGCGGATTGCCTCCTGGATCACAAGGGCTAGTCGGGGGATGTGAATCGCTAATTGCCTTGCGATAGTCGGAAAGAGTTTGACAGCTGTTCCTTGGTCCCCTTCACCCCTTTTGAAGAAGAATGTCGCACCCAATAAATTTGCATCTTTCAAATTCCTTGCCACTGTCCGCGAGATGGTGGATTTACCAGTCCCTGCTCTACCATTTAACCAGAAGATGCACTTTCCGTTCGGTAATGTAGCCCATTCCGTAATATGACGAAGGAGCTCTGACCGAGTTCCCGGAAGGCAGTAATCTTCATGCTGGTGGTTGTATGAGTCGAACGCGGCCCCGTGTACGACCGGTAGCTGATTTAGATCAATTCGATCAGTGGTCTTGCTTATGATCGAGATGTTTCTCCTGCGACGGTGTCAGCTGTCCATTCCACAATGTCTCAATTGATGGATAAATCTATACGTTTGATCAATTAGTAAAGATACAGCGAAGGAGGATTTGTATCTTTCAAGATCGGCGACAATTCTTTCCATCTCTGGCCGCTTAATAGGCCAGGTGAGGGACCGGAAGCTCAACCTTCGCATGGTTTTGTGCCTCCGGCCCATATCTAATTTTTTCATCAGGGCCGTAAGAGTTGATGAACAATTCTTTATGTCATTTTTTAACACATCAGACTGAGATATCTGCAGGAAGTCTGAACTTTCAATGAGGCATTTCAGTTCTTGAAGAGTATCTTTGAGACTGGACGCTGACTTTTGCAGAGCCAATATTTCCTCTCTAGCATCTTTCACTTCAAGGATGTAGCCCCCACAAACTGTCGCAATGCATCCCGCGAGTTGAATGACTCCGAGGACGCTAGTTGCAGAAGAAAGTCCATCCATTTAAGCGGATAATCGGCAAAATACGCGTTCACGGGAACCCAATTTGCTTTTCTCGCTGTGCATAATAAACGTGGATTTTGTTGATATGCGAACTTTGGTGTGAAGAGGGGCAGGTTGGGAGCGCTGGAAGGACCAGTCATGCAAAAGTTGGCCCCATTTGTCAAACCTGAGAGGTACTAGTTAGTAAGATACCGTATATTCTCCACAGCTTGTCAGATAGAGCGGTGGGCCTACTTTGCTCGCACAGATGAGATAGCTAGGAGCTCTTATTATGTACGTTTTCGTTACCTTATAACGACCTCGGGATGATTTTGATTAAAACGGGGAGAAATATAGTTTTCAGTGAACAATACCTGTGCAGGATCTCATGTCCAGTAAGCCCGGAACAAAGAAGTAATTTTTTAATACGACATCCCCACGTAGTAGGCTTCCAAAGGTAATGTAAATGTGACTTTTTCAAACTAAACCGTGCCTGAAATTACATTATTGGATATATTTTGTACCTAGCAATTGTATCGCATCAAAATTTGTAGTGTATATGCGTGGATCGTTGGCTCTGTGTTTAAATGATGCTATCTAGGCAACCAGCCAATATTATCTTAGATGTGAGGCAAGATCAGTTCGTACACTCTAGTATCAATCATTTTCCAGCCTCCTCCAAATTGAAATTTTGCGTGCCTGCGTAGCGCTCCACTCTCCCTTCATTCGCCTCTTTCGAGAATCTTTTTTCGAGTCTCTACAGTTGCGGGTGCTCTTTGGTCCATTCATCGATGTTTCCGAAGACATGCAACCAAAGAGAAGTGTGATCCAGATCCTAAATCCAAGATTTTAGTCTTTGATATTGTCGATTACAGGTCAGCACACTCACATGCGTACGAGGGTCGGCATCAACCTCTCGGAAGGCCGCAATGGCAGCTTCACCTGCACTGGGATTGATTCCGACTTTCTTCGCGGCATTAATCCCAATAGTGAGATCCTTGACACTCAATGCAGGTGCGAATGCCCTTTTATAGTTGTTGCTGGATGGGGCCTCGGGTACTAGACCAGGAACTGGCTGCTCCAGACCCATCACCCTCGAATTGGCGGTACCCTCCCTGATACACTTGAAAAGCGCCTTCTTATCGATGCCGTATTTCAGGCCGATAGCCATACCCTCGGAAGCGACCAAGTTGTTCGCTAGAGTGATATAGTTATGGGCGATCTTGGCCACCTGGCCCATGCCAAGACCACCACAGAATGCAATTGTGTCCGGAACCCCAACAAGCGAGAGGGTTTCGAAGATCCGCTTACCTACTAGGTCCGTCTCAGTAGGCTCTGGATGGCCTACCATGAACGATAAGGTTCCTGCATTGGACCCCACATCCCGCCTGACACGGTAGCATCAACAAAGGTGCCCAATCTGGCATCGATGATCATTGTTCCGATCTCTTGAGTCGATTCAATTTCAATAGTGCTGCATTCAATCAACAGTCGATCCGGGTTTTTGAGAGCTGCAATAACCCCCTGTTTGGGGTCCAGATAGACCTTTCGTACGTGAGGACCGGCAGGCAGACTGGATAGAACGATTCCGACTTTAGACGCAAGATCTTTGGCGGATGATGTAACTTCGATTTTTCCGTACGATCCGAAGTCCTCAATTAGCCGCTGGATAACTCCATTGTTGATATCAAATACGTAGAGAGTTATGTTCTGTGGCAGCTTCTTTCGTAAATTCCCCGCCATGCCGTAGCCGATGATGCCGAGGCCTATGTATACCTATCAGCTGAGCGGACGCTCACACGTCTCCATCTGCCCAGGTGGGCTCATACCGATGACTCCATAATCTCTCGACATCTTCCAAGTTTATAGATTTTGGTTGTTTAGCTATGATTTAATAGGATGTTGGCAGTGGGTTCTCAGTAATTGTCAGTGAACAATCCGCATTCCCTGAAGTTTGAGACGATTTAGAACGGGGCTGGGGGATCTTTTATCTTTATTTATATCCACGGACTTGAATTCAATTACTAGCATTGTGGGCTTGGAGAAATATCCGACGACTAATAGGTGGCTTTCGGAAATAAAATATCGTCCGCCCATGTGGTCGGAGCAATCTCAGATATCGCAACATGACAACCATCTACTAGGCACCTGGAGCAGAACAGGGAGCGTCAGGTCAGCAAATGACAGTGTACCACAATGCGGAAACCGCCCGGTTCCCGTGCTATCTGATTTATTTTCCCGTTAAAAGTGACATGGGATTAGAAGTACGGTTGGAAAATAGATCATTGGTTTACTATTCAGGCACCTTAGTACCCTACACGGCACGCGGCCCGGCCTCGACCACACGGGCCGAAACATCGTGTCTATGACTCGTATCATCTCGAGCGTGTCCAATGGTGATCTTGCAATTTCCAAATTAATGTCGATTTACTTTGAATGTTTCATTCTGACTTTACAAGCGCTGCTACCCCGCACGCCATGATAAGGTGCATCGCAAGTAACTTCATATTCAATAGGCTTACGGTTGAAACGTATTTAATGGAAGCACTATCCGCGCGCTGAACTCACACTAGTCTTTTATGGATATTCCATTTCATAATTTATCTTTATCGATAAATTGATAGTTGGATTGTTTCATATTTCAAGCACCATATTTTTGCTTCACATTTTCGTCCTACATTGAGGCTTCCGCCTATCTTGGACTGCGCTTTATCCAAGTTTCACCGACATATCTGTTTCTTTACAATGGCCCCAGATTTGGAGAAAAAGAGCTCCATGCCCCAGACTGGTGACTCTCCAGAATTTGGGAGTGGTACCCTTTCGACAAGCACAGATGATAGCGGCCTCCGCCGCACGTTAGGCAATCGACAGATACAACTTATAGCAATTGGAGGGTCCATCGGGACAGCTATTTTTATTACTATTGGCACAGCACTAGCTCATTCTGGACCAGGCAGCTTAATCATTGCCCTCATTCTTCACAACATTATCCTTGCGTTCATAAATAATTGCATGGCAGAAATGGGTATTGAAATCTTATCAAAGTTTCCATTCGAGCAGAGTATGCTGCAGTAGCACTCTTAATCTATAGTCATACCAATGAATACTCAGACTTTCTGGCACCAATGGATTTTCTAGCTCTGTCAAGATTATCTTCAAACAATCCACTCACGAGAGGGTTTTCTAACTAAAAGGCTACATCGTGAAAGGTTAATCTCGATTAGACAATACATTGCACTGGAAATTTTCTCAGAGAAAAGCAGTGGATATATGAGAATTGTAAACGTAGCCAACTGGCGCGATGAAATTGGTATTGGTGGTCCTCAAGACCAGATAGTTGGTATTATTGAGATATGGTAACTTTTTTCTCGACGATCTCAGGGTCGTCTGCATATGAAATCGGGTATGCAAGATATGGGTAACAAAAAGGCTCGCTATTCAGAAGAAAACAAAAAAGAGCAAATATCAGACGCCTCCGTGCTTAAGCGTACTTAAGCGAAGGGAAGAATCTCCTTGCCAGTGGCCTTGAATCTCTTGACCATGTAGCCGGGCTTGCAATTTGACTCCCAGTCAACATCGAATCCCTGTTCAGGGTTGTGACCGTTTGACAATTGCTTTTGGAGAGAAAGGTCATCCGAGCCGTCGGACATATCGGCCTCGCTCTCTTCGCCACAGGGGCAGTTGCCGGTTGTTCGGAGTCCGGGAGTGACGCAAGGGCAGGAACCCAGGTTGCGGTTGCAAGGAACACACTTGTAGAATGCTGGGCTGGAGCCGGTGCCAGTGGAGGAAAGGCGAACGCCGGGAAGACCGCAGGAATCGCACTTCCAGAAGGCAGGGTGATCGAAAGTCATGATGAATGGTATGATGTGAAGAAGTTGTAGAGACTGGGGTAAAAGTATAAGTAAATTGCCACACAGGGGTAAAGACCAGGATGTCTGGATATGTTATGACATACCTTGAAGTATATGGTAATATAGAATAGAAGTAGAAAGGTACCTGAAAATCCGATCTGAAGATCTAGGAACAAGGAAGAATAGGCTGAATGCTGAATGAATATTCTAAAAATCCGGGGAAGAAAGAAGGCTTTATATAGAAAATTGAGATGCCGAATCCATACAAAACCACGACTCGGACACTACCATAACCACAGTGACCTACAGAATTTTCTTCTAGCGGGTGGCGTCGATCATTATGACGCTATTAGGACCGCCCCAACATAACCAAATGCAAAGTATGGGGTAAAAACAGCGCACATCCACGATCCATGGGGGAGGATCACGTAAAACGAGCCGGTTCTAGACTTCAGAACCATTGACGAGGTGATCCCAAAGGGAAAGAGTGGCTGCATCGGGTAAGGCCAAGACCGGCCTGTTAGGTAATATCGCGCAGAATGGGTCAAGTGACTCCGCTTAACCCTGGAATCCTTTACGTTTCTGTTACTAATCGGTTACTATATTCAGCAGAACTTGCTGGAAAATGAAGTCAGTTCCCGTGATGCGTGCGGCATTATTATCCAATCGCTGTTCGCCACTGCCACCGAAACGTCTTCGGTCCGAGCACCCCCCGCATTCTGGCTTTTCTTCGGCTTCTACTGGCCCAGTGGCCTGACGGCGGTCAGCCCTGGGAATGCGGAGGGGGGTGAGGAGATGAGGTGAGGAGACAACAGTGCGGAGAAGATGTACGGAGTACATACAATCTTCATGCATGTTCGAAGAAGTGATACAAATTTTCCTTCAAATGAGGAATTGTTGAGGAAAACCAAGTAAAACCAAGTTTCCTCAATCCCCTATCCAATCTCGTCATCTGACACGTGTTCGCTACGACGCCGCTCCGAGAATAGACCATGGCCACCGCCAAAGGAAGGTGGATCTATAAGGGGCAACATGAAAATTTGTCCTATGAGTCAAGTCAAGTGATCTGTACAAGGGATTGAGAATCGAAGCGCCTAGGTAGATCCACTGGCCCGAGGCGACATTGCGTGATTTGATCTGATCAATGCCGGCATCCTGGGATAGCCGGGCCGGTGATACATCAGCAAAAAAGCCTCGGACTTAGTAGTACTCGTAGAACCACATCTCGTACGACCATAGAGGCTAAGGCATGGAGAACAGTACTTTCTGTCCGCTTGGCTATACTGAAGTGAAACCAGATTACTGTAGTACTATAGGTAAGAAGCAGGTAACCCAATGCGAATCCCTATTATTGTATACTTTTCTGCTCTTTCTTCCAGGGGCCCTTTTCGTTGAATACTCTTTGAGACTAAGTTGGAGTAAACTTTCTTCACGTATAGGGCCCGAGTCTTTGGCTCAGATAGAGGAGTATTGATCTCTTCATACTCGTAGATATTTTTATTTTTCTAGAAATAATTTTACTCGATATCTCTTTTTTTTGCGTATGAATTGAAGCTACCAATGTTACTAGTGGACTTGAATGTCTTGGACAAAAAAAGACCGCATGGCAAGACTAACAGGTCCGGTGCCAAAAAAGGATCCATACTGGTCCCGGCTTTACTCCCGCGCAGCGATATACATGGATTTCAAGATGCTCAAGCCCTTCATTAACGAACCTATCTAGCTAAGCATCGATAAGTCTCCTGAAAACTTGCGACCGCCATACAAAACAATCCGCTCCATGCGCTAGGTGACCCGCGCCTGTTCCGATGTATTTTGTGCCGGCGTTCTTGTTTCTTACGATAATATTCTTCTATGTGTACGAGCGACGAAAATAGATACGGAGATCAGAGACGCGTCATGGAAACGATAATGATGATATTTAAGGCCCTACGGCCCTCAAGGATATAGGTCACCTGATCGTCGCGACAACGAACAAAGACCGTAAGGCACCAAGGCATCAAGGCATAAATGTAGAATCGAAGGCGATCGAGAATTTACTGCTGATCAGCTTTCATGATTCGATTTAATTTCCGACGCGCTTTCTGGTGGGAGCCTTCCTCAAGTGGGGCGAGATCACGAGCAGCGCGTTGTTGTTGTTGTTGTTGTATCAACACAGGGTTTCCGACGAAAGCCCAGAGAAGGTCGAACCAGCTTCCGAACTCGAGGTCATCTATGACCAGCAACTTCCATGTCAAATTAAACAATTTGGCCTTGTCTTTTTTGTTGCCCTTTTTGTTGCCCTTCTTATTTTCGCCATCGAAATTGTAGTCGAGGCGAATCTCTGGTTCGTCCCAATTGCCAATGACCGGCCAATCGTAATAACCAGGATAAATATCGCTCGTGAGACTGCTCGTAACGGTGCCGTTGATCAGATTTGCGAAAGTAAATTTTCCAGCCAATGCCGTGTGATAACCCTCACGGCGGAGGTGCTGTGATAAAACAAACTTTCCCCTGTCCTGGCCCTCAGTTACCCAGGTATTTGGAGCATGATACGTACGCGTTCGTCATTATCGCTCTCAAACAAGATTTCCTGAAGGCCATGATATTCAATCCAAGGGGTCTTCAATTCTCTGACTGTATTTGTCTCGTGTGTTGTGGAAGACATCAATGCCGAGTCTGGAACTTTAGAGTCGAATGGGTCCGGTCACTTTTCGAATCGCCAAAGACCTAGGGAAGCTTCTCGTTTCTTGCAATACTAGAAAACGGCTGTCCGACGCGAGCTTGACATCTACTTTGGACACCGTGCTCGTCGGCAACCAGGATTTGCTCAGTCTCATGAAGGTTTGGATCGGGACCGTGCAGCTTTATAGTGATCGCATCCTTCTTCCGCTTTGAAGTCTTTTTGTTGATGAATGTCTTAACTTCAGTCTTGAAACCCGGCCAAATACCAAGGGCTCCCACAAACTTGATAGAGTGCCATGCCTTGCTCTTAGTGCGCCCGATTCCATATCTGAGATTCGCCAACGAAATCAACGCCAGGTCCTTCTCCAAAAGGAATTTGGAGGTGGAGGTCACCCTAACCCTACCCCATTCGGGGTCGAGTGTGCGCTTTGGTGGGTTGATGGTGTGCTTTCTCGGGACCCCTGGTGAAATCAGGGCCATCTGGTGTTCTATCACTCTCGAGATTGTTAGATAAATAACCAGATTCGATAATTCGCATATCCTTATCTGACACCATATATCGCGCCTAAGTCGTCGCGTAGTCCATCAGCAGGGGTAGGAGTGCTTGGCAAAAGGAGGGAAATTGCATCCGATGACGAGAAACTTGAAGGGCCGGAGGTAGAAGGTGCGGTGAAGCTGTTGCAAGGAAAGTACGAGGCAGCCGGGCCACCAGCGGAAAGGAACCACCTGCCCGGCTGCGTACTTTTGATCTTCCGTACTAATTTGTATATGTGAAAGCCGTAAAAGACGAACTTGAAGGTTTTTATAAATAGTAGTTAATAGTGAAAACGGAGAAATGGAACGAAGTTGTTGAAGAAGGCGAACCCCTCCCCCACCCAAAAACGAGAATCGGGGCAGTATATATTCCAAACGGACTGCAAACAGCAAAGCAAACAAATTTGAGCAGGTTCAGTCGCATGTCTAATAAATGATATGGTACAGCAACAAAAAAGATGAAGTATGGCTTTCAAGGGAAGTCAATGAGTCCTATATTCGCGAATCAATGCCTTAACCGCCAGCGTGGTCGAGCTCAATATCTTGCTCAGCACCTTCTGGTGTATCTTGTTTAGGACGGAGAAACTTGCGCCGTAATACTCCCTCTTGGTGAGTCCATACAAACCATCCACCAAGGGTGATGATAGCCAAGACGATTGTTGCGATAACGAAAATCCAAAATTGCTTGGATATTTTGAGCTCTCCTGTGTCGTCTTCAAATTTAAACAAGTTCATACCAAGAACCGACTAATTGATACCAGTTAGACCGAATGCCAATAAGCGAACGTTTTAGGGTGGCTCCGATGTCCTTACCGATACAAGACTTGCTGGCAAGTATATCAGCGTCACAAGTGTCACTATCCTGACAGTAGCATTGTCGTCAAAATTCCTGTTTCCCAGTTGGAGCAACTGTTTGTTAGCGTCGAGCATGCTCTTGTTCAAATCAACCATTCGGTTGTTAAGATCAAGCATCTTGCTGGTCATTCTAAAGCTCAGGCCAATTTCAATCTGAATATTGTAAGGCACCGACCGCCAAAATCAATAACACAGGTGACTTACAATGTTCAATGTATCTTTTACTCTCTCCTTGATAATTTCAACACCCCGCAGAAGTGGTTCGAGATGATCTTTGTAGTATGCTGCACTGGTAGCAAGCCTGCCAAAGCCGTTAACCTTATTCTTCTGTTGGGAGGCAGAAACACGGCTTGTCTTATCAAGCTTCTGAAGAGTATCCAGGGTCGTCATCAATTGTGATGGAATTTCAAGGAGGCGGTTGCGTGTATTGTGGATGTCGGCAAGATTTCCATCGCCATCCGATCGTGTAGTATTCATACTTTCATGGATGAAGCTTAATGTCTTATCAAACTAGAATTCAATATTAGAAATGCCATAAATTGCGTGCTTTGAAAACTAACGTGTCGATCCACCTCTTTGCCGAGATAGTTTATGTAAGAACGCCAGTCATTAAGACATGATTTCAGGACAGCTTGATGGAGTGTAAACCAAGTGGTATCTACGAACAGGTTCTTGTGAGACTTTGAAGAGAAAATCTTTAGTTCTCTCTGCATGGGCGTATCTGTGCCCACGTGCAAGAAAATCCAAAGGTTTTCGAGACTCTTGGGACTTTGACGAGCGAATATGCCGGCCTGCCGCATAGTCCAGCGACCGGGACCTCCCGTCACGGGAAATGTGAACCTGTAGGAAATTTCTGATGTTTTTTAGACATCTTTGCTATTAAAGTCTTCTTCTGAGGAAATCTACCTTGACTTCCATTCGAACCATCTTCAATCCTCATTGCTCCTTCTCCCGCAGCAGCGCTCAGCGGTTTGTTGCCGAACGTTGAAACCAAGTCCCATAGCCCAGGGCCGATATTGTATTTATCCAGTAGAACTTCAAGTGCATCTCTTGAAATTTTCAGTGGGCTAAGCGAGGAGACAGAGTGAATCGAGCTTGATTTTTAAAAGTTCACCATGAGTAAAATCAAACTAATTCGAGAATGAAGCGAGTCTTACACAATGCGTAATTGTGGGCATGATGCTGTATTAATGTGCTGCTTAAACGAATCCGACTCCGTGAATACTTTCGTGGTCAATTCATCCATCGTAGACCCTGTAAAAAGAAGGTTAATATAGATTAAATCTTCAGACGTTTTCATACAGTACGCACCGTTGCTCTCGTAGACAGAAATATTAGCGGGATCATCTGGCCGACAAAAAGTATCGTAGTAGCTTGACTTGGTAGACATTCTAGTTAATATTTCTACCAACTTGCAAGTTCTTTACTTGGTTGAAATTTTATCAACTGATTTATTAGCTCAAAGCGAATGGTGCGTAAATAAATAGCACGAAATGGAAATCGCATGTTGCAATGTTCAAACACTGATATCATGGAGGCGCATTGCCGAACATGTTCCAATGGTTCGCCCAAAGCTGACCTGTGGAAGAGGCGGAGGCTGGCGTTGTTTCCCATATGCATGCGCCCGGTGAGGTACTATTTATCACCGGGGCAATACCATATGATGTTTGATTCATGTAAATATGTAAACATCGCCCCGGCAGGCCGATTGGAAAATTTCAAACGGCAAAGTCCGTGGCATGCCTCGCTCACAAGGCGGAAAACCCTGGGCGCAACAGCACAATTGATTCATGTTCGCCAAATGGACGCAGATTTTTTGATTCTGATTCGTGGATGTGTGTACAAGGATAATACGAGGAACGCCTTGCCATCTGCCCATGGCTTACCCTCTGCGGTTAGCCTGGTACAGCCCATTTTAATTTGGCCTGGTGGACATCGCTGGCCACAACGCTACGATGTGACAACAAGGTCAAGGCTCACCCGGGCGTAATTTTATTGCAGATAGAGTGACGGTCAGCTACGACTAGATATTGTAAAGGATATGTTACTATCCATTTTGTTTTCAGCCCCAGTGGACCCGTTCTAACTCCCGAAGATCACTGGTTCACCACCCAAATGTAAGCATTGTTATGTTGAAAAACTATTTAGACGTTCAACTTACGCTACTTCATACTGGAGAAGAGAAAAAAGTCAGACTTATACTAAGAATCAAAACGTGTCCATGGCAGAGTTATACCTCTTCGATCTCTCTCGGAGCCTGGAAAGAATATCGATCCCAACGAAACTACAACTTTGTTAACCTTTGCCTCGGTTGGAGAAAACTTTGAAGGCTTACTTCAACCTCGATTTTCCGCCCAAATATCTCCCGTAGTCTACTGATGAGCCTTTCGCGTCTGATGTAAGGACTAAGATGCTCAGAGAGCGTGGTCGTAACTGATGATCCGAAGGAGATGCCCGTTGAAGACATTTTGGGCCGGGAATCGTTGACTAATAATGGATGACGAAGCGGCAGGGTTGGAAGAATCTCAGGTTTTGAATACTAGAAGGGCAAACTTCGTGTATTTGAAGGGAATTTCAGACATTGAGCCTCACCACTAATTCTAGTGTACTCGAACCAGCCCGCTATTCTCCTTGCCATGTGTTGCCGAGTTAGTATACGTAACTAAGAATCAACAGCGAGGACCAGGTGTCATCTGACTCTCACTAGTATGCAGCCCCTTTACGAGTAGATTAATAAGGACCACCGTGGTCGCGACGATGCGACACTATCAACCAATGATTCATTCTTGAATATTCTAATGCACGCGGCCATGCAAGCCCACTTTCGACAGTTGACGCGTCGAGAACCGACAGCGCTAACAGCCTGGTCCTGACGAGCATCGCTCGTGATTTTTTTAATTTCGCCCGGGTAAGCGAAGGGTCAAAGAAGCAATATGCGCCTCATCCTTCAAAACTAGTCCCGATATGACATTTACTCCGGAAAAATTTATGCGCAGTCATTATAGACTCACTGTCCTGCTAAGTTTGATGTTGCTAGATGCTCGACTAGGAACGGGGGCTACAACTAACATAGGGTTAGTCTGGGCTGAAGGGTTTGCTAATAAGACAAGACGTCAGCCTCGTCTGGTCTTCAGCTCGGTCTTGCCCTTAGTATAGTACCAAGCCATTATTTCACTTGAACCCTTTGATGGATAGCTACCATCGAGGCTCGGGTGATTGGTCTCATTGGGCCTTTTCTCCGTTCAGAACAATCCACCCAGGTGAGCGCTCTCAATTTAGAATCTATGAAGACGCGCCCGTGGGCTCAAAACGTAATTTCAAGACCTAGTCCGCTCTCAAAAGCGGGGATGAAGATCAGCAAATTCTTGCGCCGTCGCGCTGGTATTGCCACTTCGTTGGGACAAATGAGGCTCTTCGTAAGCCCTGCGCACCATATTATTCCCCTGGACTGAGCTTCAGAACGCCTTTCTCGCCACCCCAATTTTTTTCCTTCTTCGAGCTCTTATATTATTTCCGGTTGTTGAATTCACAGCGCGCCTGAATTTCCAGGTATCTTCTCTGGCGTTGATTTACGAGTTCCAAGATGAGTACAGACGAAGACAACGAGAGTCGCTCAGCAATGTAGGTTTCGTACCCATGCCAGCAAGCCCACCCATACCCCCTGAAGAAGAGACTAACCGGTCTTAATCGACCAGTCCTCTTTCTCGCCAGAAAATCGAGGATCTGGAGAGAGATGTACGACAGTTTTGGGAGCGTCTCGAACTCCAGAATACTGTCAGAATAGAAACTCTCATCAAAGGCGCGAAGATAGCGAAAGATCCGCCCAACGTTGCTCTAATAGGGCTCAGTGGTCCTGAAAGACAAGCAATATTCAGTGAGAAAAGGCAGTTGCCCTGGCAAGCTAGAGGTCTCCTAGTCACTGTTATGGTGACTGCTTGCGCTGCTATCACCCAGTTTGTCTCTAGTGTGAGTTATCTTGTAGGTTTTCACTGACTGTTACCATAGGGGTTGGCAGCAATCTACAATCAACGGGAGTGCTCTGTTTTCATGGTGGGAAAGTGTGGGCCTTCAAAAGCCAAAAGATGAGCTTCTGATCGGCGTGATCAACGCAGCTCCTTGGCTTTCAGCAAGTTTAGTGTAGGTGATGAGATAATATCCCACGTCCAGTACGTGCAATAAGATGATAACTCTAACCACGCGACAGTGGAACATGGTTGAGTGATCCGTTGCAAGATCGATACGGACGACGCCCCGCGTTGTTCGTTGCTGCTTTGTTTTGCGTATTTTTGGTGATAGGTGTGTAACATTCACATAGCCCGCGGCCTTCTGCATTATTCTTGATATTTACTATGTCACTTGTATAGGGACTGCCCAATGCAACCACTGGAAAACGCTACTCGTCTGCCGCTGTCTCCTTGGTGTTGGGGTAGGTTCAATTCTGTTCTCCATGTCATCCTTTCTTTATCACTTCTCGTCCTCCTGATTGGCTCCTACCCACAAACTGAAACGTGTACATTGAACAGATTGGTTCCAAGGCTTCGATTGCACCAGTGTTCGCGGCTGAAGCAGCTCCCGATGAACATCGAGGGCGGGTCTTGATGATGTGGCAGCTCTTTGATACATTGTAAGTTCGCGCATCCTGTGAAAAACAAATATCTAACACTATCTCTTTCTAGCGGTATATTTCTAGGCTTTCTCTGTGCTTTCCTAGTTCGAGGGGATTGGAGGATCCTCCTTGCGACCGCGATAATTCCGGCTATCGTCTTGCTGTTCCTGGTCTTCATATGTCCCGAGTCTCCACGCTTTCTGATACAAAAACATAGATATGTTGAGGCTTACAAAAGCCTTCTCGAGCTTCGAGGGACCGAAATACAGGCCGCTCGGGACCTTTACAACATCCATTCTCAGCTTCAGGTAGAAGCAACAAAGATATGGAAGAGTCCCAACGAAAGGCTGTGGTCAGAGCAGGAAAATCGCTACATTTATCAGAGATGGATAAGCAAAAGAAATTTCTTCAGTCGCATGTGGTATTTATTCACGGATCCGCGATCTCGAAGGGCGTGCATGGTGGCTTTAATCGTGATGTTATCACAGCAACTATGTGGAGTGAGCTATCATACATCGAACCAATAGGGTTCTTCTTGGCTAATACCTTCTGCGCGACCAACAGATGAACGTCTTGGCATTTTATTCATCTGATCTTATAAAATCTAGTGGGATGACTGATTTCACCCCTCGAATTGAGAGTTACAATTTGGGTAAGTGGATATACAGAAACGATATGACTGAAGGCGGCTGATCATCATGCAGGCTTTGGTCTGGCCAATTTTCTTTTCACTTTTCCCGCATTCTTTTTTATTGACTCGAGTGGTCGTCGACCCTTGCTCCTTGTATCGTTCTCTGGCATGCTATGCAGCCTAGCCGCTGTTGCAGGGTTCTTCAAACTGACTGATCCTGAGACCCGACTCATCTTGGTGGCAATCATCAGCATTGCAGTTTTTGTCTTCTTCTACTCGATTGGTGCGGGTCCAATCCCATTTACTCTGAGTGCAGAAGTATTCCCTCTGCATGTACGCGGTAAGTCGAGCGGCCTCGCTTGTTCACGTTGGCTAGGACCTGACATGTGCTAGATGTGGGAATGAGCTTCAGCGTTATGATAAATTTTCTTTTTCTTGGCCTTTTGGTATTTGCGGTTCCCTCCTTGACCACGAAATTTGGACATGGAAACGTATGTGGAGAAGCCTCGGAAAACCTTTGCAATGGACAGGCAAATCTTTTGGGGTTTTTTACGTGAGACATCTATCTTATATCTCTTTACCTAGTACTAACATACTATTATACACAGGGGATTGAACGCATTGGCATTGATTTTGATCTTTCTTTTGGTAGGTCTCATCTACTTGGTAATACCATGGACCTTTGCTAAACTGAGTCTCAGGTCCCCAAAACCAAAATTAGCACCTCGCTTGAAAACATGAATACAATATGTAAGCTTTCTAATTGCTTTGATTCACGCTACATTACGCTACAGGGCATCTTCTAACTGATTTCATAGTCGATCGTCCAACAATAGAGCACGTCCGGGACCATTGTCGTCCTTTGAACCCTTTATCCGGGACGTCTTCACTCCAGCAAGACATAGAACTTCAACGGGAGGAATAGTATAATACCCAAATTATATCCAGAGAGTAAATACTTCATTGCAATAGGGCTGAAATTGGAATATATTGTTGCATATGAAGTGTCATACCCCATGTCACTGAAATCATACTAGTATACCGGAGTCAAATACAGGCTTTGTGGATCCAAACTAGTTAACAATCCCTTTGCTAGTATGTTACTTTAAGAGTAGAATTCAGGAATAATTATCGAAGATGTATGTGTTTATGTATCATAGGAGCATTAAAAAATGATTTGCTCAGGTAAACGCACTCAAGATCCTGTTGCTCCCAAAATAAAAGAACTGCATCAACGACTCGCCGTTTATGCTGCCCTTCTATCTCTCCGTATTTGAGTAATCAATCTTCTCATTTGGCTTGAGGTCCCATTCTCCCTAGGAGGAAGGATTGCATCGGCATTCAGAAGAATTCTGACAATATCAACTTTATCCTTTTCAATGGCAAGCTGTAAAGGACTTTTTTGGGGGTATGTCATATTCACATCTCCTCCTCCGTCGCAGAGCACATTGAACTTTCTTTCCCATTTGGTATTGACCCTCTCACCATATTCCTCATTGACCCCGAGCTTTATGTGTTGCATCATAGGTGTCTCATACCCCTCGATTCCACTCGGAGATAAGTTGAAATCAATTTCTCTTCCCAAAAATGCCTTGAGAAGATCTTCCTCGGACTTAATGCTAAGTACCGCGAAATGCAGGCAATTATGTTGATATTCCCCCATGCAGATTGTGGTATCTGCACCACCGTCCAAAAGCGCTGTAACCACAGCTACATGATTTCGTGAGGCTGCTTCCATGAGTGGTGTTTTCCTGTCTCTAGAGAGCTCATTCAGAGCTGATTGGCACTCTTTCTTGATTAGGACGCCAATCAAGACTCTCACCGTATCCACATCGCCTTGAAAAACAGCAAGATTGAGGGGAGTCTCTTCTGCGAATGAGCGAGTTATCACGTCCAGATCTGGGTTGTGCAGCAAAAGTGCACTGATGATTGGGGCCCTGAGCATTGGGTCCTCTTTCCTTTCGATAGCATGAATCAAAGGCCGGTCATTTTCATGGTGGCCTTCGACATCAGGTCGGTGTCGCAGACATTCATTAATATCGTCAACGCTTCCCGATTTAATGCTACTCACAAGGGCACCGACAGTTAAACCATATACTGGCGGGTCAGGAGTTATTGTTGGGAAGAGACTCGAAATGCTTGGCCGAGTGGCCGTTGTTGGAGATGATGTGATGGAGCTTGAATCGACAGACTCTAAGATGCGTCCAGTTGCAACCTTATAAAGCCTGTGCAAGCAGCGACGAACATCAGTTGCTCGCGGTCGCATTTCTAAGTCTATCTGAAGCATCCAAGAAAGAAGACTTTGCATTTCGGCCAAGAACATGTCATCGTATAGTCCATGATATCTTTTTGGCAGCTCCGCAATCCAAGCCCCAACATTCTGGTTCAGAGCTGGAGGTTCTTCTCCACAAAAACGGTCCCCGAAAGGTTTCCAGTTCAATGGTCCTTCTTGCAATGCACCAAGTTGAAACTGATATCGAAGTTCAAGCCCCAAAGAAAAGATCTGCACAAGGATGCATCCGAAAGACCAAATATCGCTTCTTCGTCGAGCATGTGGATCGGGCGCTTGGTATATCCCACCCCGTGGTTGAGGAACTGAGTGCCTGGTGATGGACAAGCCAGATTCATTTCTATCACTTGATAAAATGCCGAGCGATCGGTGAGATACACCAAAGTCAGTGATTGCCCAGGTCCCTGTTGACGAGTTGTTCTTTCTAAAAACCAGGATGTTTCGAGGTCTGAAATCCGCGTGACAAATTCCTTGGGGTGAAAGATCCGGCCACTCACACTCAGCCTGCAGACCACGATGGAGGAATTCAAGGGCCGCTGCGAGCTCGCCGGACTCTTTCAACAGACTTTCAAGCAAGGGAATGTCAGAACTCATGGATCGGTATTCCCCAAGAAGGTAGTCTTCGAGATCCATATCTGCCCACGGCATGATAATGTTCAAGTCGGTGCCAATTATGACGGTTGCGAGGGGGGTAAACAATTCGCTTGTGGCTGGATAGACTGGATTGAATAAATTTCAACTGTCGACGTTCGACATGAAATTGTCCGTTCGGGAAACGCTTTCGAGCAACCGTGAGTTCGGCCTAGGCAGATGAAGAAGAATATTAGCAGGTCTCCTCGGAATATCGACCTAACTCACTTACCGAATTGGTTTGGTCTGGTAGGCCGAGATGATGGCTCGAATGTTTCAACACAATATGACCCGGTAATATTTTTTCCTTTGTTACTTCTCCAAACGCGCCCTCTCGGCGCGAGCATTTTTGTCGCACGAGGGGTAACCGTCTACCATATTTGTAATCGTGTTCTCCGCCACCGATCAAAGTAATAGGGATATAGATCCATCGATCCTGTCGAAACCTTTCTATGAACGGGGTGTTGCCAAGAAACGAGTCGTGTTTTAGGTCATCGTATTCCAGATTCTCGATGTTGTTGTCACGGCGTTGGGTGGCAGCCATAGGATTTAGAAAGAAGATTTTTTTGAACCTTGCCCAGCCTGACCAAGAAATTCCAATCAACAGCGAAATCATGCGAAGCAAACCACGTCGTGCTTCCTCGATTTGCAGGTTTGAAATTGCTTGAGCGGTGCCATGATCGGGGTCACAGCGAGGATCTCTTAGAAAACGGTCGAGACGATCTCCGGCCCATACCTTTTGAATTTTATTATATGAGATAAATGTCACATTTGCATCCGTGCCTTTATTGTAGATCTCGTCATGCAGTTCCGTCTCGATAGCTTCTAGCTCCGCGGCCCAGCTCATTTGGATAGCGATGAAGATAATAGGCTTTGAAGGCTGACTGGCTAAATATATGGTACTGAAAGTCGTTCGTTGGATGTAATTTGAATCCAGGTATGCCCCAGGTTGACCCAAGGTTAGGCAAAGAGAGCCACTTGGGCTTTCGATAAGAAGTGGTTGTAACCGTGCAAGGAAGGACGTTTCGGCGGAAAGGCGGGGTGCTTTGACTCGAGCCCTAGGAGAGACTCGGAGTTGTCAGCTGAAGACCGCAGAGTAGTGAGGAGAAAGCAGCCTAACAGGTTCGAGGGGTATCAGCCTCAACTTGTCAATTTTATTTGTCAAGTAGAGCATAGCACGACATTGCGATATCGATCCCGGTTCAAGCCTCAAAAACAGGATGGAAACTCAATAGATACATTCATTTCCCATGACCCGCTCTTCTCTCAAGAACCTGAAGCATTGCTAGTTAAACTCCACTGGGATCAGAGCTAGAGCGCGTGGCGACAGGAGGGTTACCCCGGACTCTGGAGAATGCCGGGGTAGCCCTGGGAACATTGCACCAAGGCATTCTTCTGGGTTCCATTAGATCATGATCTGGCCTGAGGCTGATATGACTATGAGTCCCCTGCATTCGTATCACAGTGGTGACTCTATTCCTTGTCTCGTATTCAGGCAAAGTAGAGCTAGCGGCCACTCCCCCAGGGCTGTCAGCCTCACTTCATGGCCCAATGCGTCCCGTCACAAACAGGTAGTTTGGCAATATCGCCCCCCTTCCCCCTCCCCAGGGACTTGAGATAGATTTTTCATGTCCTATTTTGTCATCAGAGTTTTCCAAGATCCTTTATAAAGTCACCTTGCATTTTTACGGTATAAATTAGCCTAATGTACTAGTAGTCCTCGTTCGCTTGGTTCGCTGCTATCGGTCTTCTTGTCAACACAATCAACCAGCTTCTTGCAAAGAAATCTATACTACTAATACTCAAGGGCTAGGAATACGACATTCAAAGACTCGGATCTAAATTGCTTTTTTTTCAGAAACAGTATTTTAGTTAAAGAAAAAATACTAGTAGTAAAAGAGTGTGTATTTCGAGCCATAGAGCAAACCTTGGAAACAACGCGTATCGCTTGAACCTTGCTCGTAGAAGGCAAAAGCTAGTACTAGTACTACTCAGATCACCCGGGCATGCCTAGTACTAGAACGAAGTTGCCCAGGTGTACATACCTAATTGTGCACCGATGTTATGGTGGATCTACTGCCCAGGTGGGCGGTTATATATTATCGACTCTCGAAGTGGGGTGCAAGCCGGCCCGAGCTTTTGTTTGTTTACATTTCGGTATTTGGACCCCGGCAGAATAAAGTTTCAAGTTTAAGACAGCAAAGGAATATTTTGGTCAGAATTCAAAACAGTGGTATCATGTTCAGGTAAATAGTACAGTAGTATCAGTAGTAGAAACAGTAATGGTACAAAGCTCCGACAACAGCTGGGCAGTTGCAACAAAGAGCAGGACAATGAATGTGCACAGAGAAAACCACCCGAATTAAAGCGCGGCAAACAAAAGCGCGGTCAGACAGTCAAGTCAAGAGTCAAGGGAAAAAGAAAGAAAAGAGATATATCCACATAACCAGATGCGAAAAATGACAGACTCGGGAGAACAATCTTGTGTGAAGAAACCGGAGAAAGAAACAGATAAAGTGACACATTGGTTGCAAGGAGGAAGGATCATAATACAAGGGTGGTTCTTGCAACAGCAGCGGGGATATAATGGAGACATGAAGGGAGGTCGTATGATACAGGAGAATCAGGGGAACAGGAAAAGAAAGAGGTTCTGTCGGTAGGGTATTCAGCGGCGGCTCGATCGAAGACCGACTCGGCCGCCTGCAACGAGAGAGTGCCATCGTCGCCCGACGTCGCTGGTGGTTTGGCGACCCATTTGGCGCGCACACTCGTCCCATTCTTTTGGGAAAGGCGGAAGCGTTCGAGGACCAGCTGGAGTAGGCGCTGATCTTCTTCGACGGACCACTCGTCCGCCGACAGCGCGGAAACAGGCGCAGGCGCGGACGCATCGGCCTCCTCGATTGAGGGGAGAGGAGCGTCTGGATCAACGCGCGCGCCAAACTCTTGAAGGCGCTGATCCAGCCGGCGCTGGGCTGGGGAAGGTGGTGATTGTGTGATAGGAGGAGAGTGGAGGGAATAGAAATCTGTCGAGGAGAGACCGAGCGGTAGCTCATAGGGGATGTGCCGTTGGCGTTTGGGGGTGGATGGGCGATTGCGACTGATCTCGTTGTCGCTGTCACTTTCGTCGTCGAAGTTGGAGCGCCGGCGCTTGTTGGCGCCGCGCGCGGGCGCGGAGGGAGCAGGTGGAGGTGTGGTTGCGAGAGTAGTTGGGGGAGGTGTTGGGCGCGGCGATGCAGGTCGTGCGAGTTTGCGCGATCGCGTTGAGCGGCGCGGTGGGTTGAGGAGGAGAGGGCTTTGGAGGCGTTGCGGCTTCACGGATCGTCGGGGTGAAGGGGCTGGTGAGCCATTGAGGAGAGATTGGAGAGCGCGGCAGGTTCCAAGAAGACCGTTGCCATTTTGATTTCCTCTGTCTGAGGGAGGAGGAGTTGAGAAGAGGCGACTGGGGGTAAAGCGAGACGACCGGCGCACATCGCATGGGAGGGCAGATGGGAGAAGCATGATGTCGCGATCGACAGATTCAATGATGTCGAGTGATTGAAAAATGACTGAAGAGTGTATATAGTCGGGGATGTGGTGTTGTTGGGTCACAAGTTGGTTTGCGCCGGATTTGTGTGCGCGTGCGATTTGCGCTGGTAGGATGCGCCGGGGGTGGTTGCGAGGCGCGACGAGGGAGTTGAGGGAGAAAGAACGAGTGGAAGATAATCCCGTCGAAAAGCGCTTCGAAAACCACCAGGACCGGAGGGGTGCAAGAGAGAGTAGAGTTGGTAGTAGGTGGAGAGAGTGTCAAAGTTGGGATTGTCAAAGGGGAAGAAAGAAGAATTGGCGGGGGGCGGCGGGTGATGGCCGAGCGTTAAGTGGGCGATGGGCGCGGCAGAGAAAAAGTGGCCGTTTACGGTCAAGCGAACATCTCCCGGGATCCACTTTAACGTAGTCAAGAGTGAAAGAATGCACGAAAATAGACTGAATGTAAGAGTGAAAGTAATGTAGAGTAGAGCAACGAAAGAATAAAGAGTGAGCAAGCAAACAAACAGGTTCTGCCTGGCAACGAATGACTGAACCAAAGTTGATTCGGGATTAGGTCTATACTCCTCTCTCAACAGGAGTCCTCCCCTCTTCTATTATACTCCTACTCTGCCTACAGGATCTCAATCACTACAAAAAAGGGCTGCAGAAACCATTGCCCCTCGCGAACACTGATTCTGTGTGTTCTATTCCCAGTGAAACACGAGCAAAGGAGGCCCAGACAAGAGGCCCATGCAAGGGATAAGGTCAAGGAACTCAAGGAATGAGGGACTGAGGAGGCACGCCCTCGCCAGGGAGCACGAGGCAATGAGGCCCCTGAAAGGCCGATCCTTTTTTTTAATTCTTTTTTAATTTTTTCCCTTTTGACAATGAGTGTTCAATGCTTTCTAATTGTGGAGGACCCGTTATGACCCGTAATGACCCGCTCAGGCTTCATCACTCTAGTTGAAGAGGATCGGCAGGCAAACAGTATCATCATGACCGCATGGTCATATCCATTGAGGACTGAGGATTATCGCATCAGCCTAGTGCCCGGGTAACCGGCTGTGGATGCAATATCAATGACAATGACGCGCAGTGGCTGCAGTTGGCCAATGCAATCCTAGTCCGGCCCTCGTGGCTATTGACCACGCTAGCGCAGGGTAATGTATCTGTCGACAATCGCATGATCTCAATTTCAATAAAATTTCCAATTTCCCCTCTACAGGTGCCTCCAATCGGCGACCAAGCGCGGTTTAATAGGCTTCTAGAGGACTTGGACCGCGTCCAGGGTCAGCCTTTCCTTTCTTCATGCCATACCATACCACCCTTCAAGGCTGGCGAGAAGGGTTCCGACCCTGCCATACCAGCCCTCGAGAAGGAGAGGGCAGCCATTCTGATTTCTACCAGGATCCTGATCCCAGTCCTAGTCTTAGTCCTGGGTTCAGGTTCAGGTTCAGGCCCATTCCTCGAGGCTCAAAGAAAAGCGCAGCGCGTCTCCCACGCGTCTGACACGCGTGGCCACGCGCGTGGGAGACGCGGGTCGCGCCGACCAATCAGCGACAACCGTCAGTTGGGACCTTTCCTATTTGGGATATATCTGCAGAGCCACGTGCGTCAGAACATTACTCTGCACGCATGAAGGACGAGTACGTACTCTACTCTATACTCCGTACGGTCCTGGCGATTCTACAGAGAACTCTCAAAATCTACTATAGAAACTATTAAACCTACACCGATGGATCCATCAACCCTTCATCACAAACATGTTGTTCAACAATTAACTACTCGAACCGAATGCTTCGAAACCGTTGGAACTATACAAGCCTTCCTCCCACACTTCCGAGGCTAAGATAGTGATCATTAATCTCCACAAAGATAACCCTTGCGTTCTGCACGGCCCATGCAGAACAATCAGCCTCTTTCTCTGCATTATCCCGCACCGCCTCGGCATCGCCCGTCCTTTGCGGGGTGCAGGCCCGCAGGTGCAGACTGCATCCCGACGGCCCTGCACACCACCATCAAACGTGTGCATTATCATCTCCATACGTGACATGCATAATCAATTCAGTGACAGATCAGTCCAAGTCTTGCTCCGCACATAGCTATTACCAGCAATTTCGCGATTCGCGTCCTAGATAGGGATACTCCGCCCTCTCATCGCACCCTCAAGGGCGGTCCTTTTTCCACTCTACCACCCATTCAACCCCAGTGGCAGGTCTGAATCAAGAGAAGCCCTCTTGCACCGCATCTCTACTACCCCAAATGCGCCCCTCTACCCCTCCATCCCTCACCCAGTATCCCAGCCTCCAACCAGAATCCAATCTGACGCAAGGGATTCCAAACTCAGATACGACTATTCCTCACCACCGCAATTGATAGGTGCAAACTAGATTAATCTCAACAAACTAACCAGGCACAAACAGATCAAGGATCTATATCCAAACATCGTGCCCTGCAAGTCAACTTTAGCCTTTGGCTTTGCCTTGGCTGTACAGACAACCCTTAGCTTCACCTCGAAGTGACCCTGCAGGTGTCCCGGTCCGATCCTGCACGACCAAATGCAAGACATCTCCCTGTCCACAACGGGCGCTAATGCAGATCATATCCAGAACTTTGATACCCTTCGTGCGCACCTGTGGCTGGGATCGATCCCTCGTTGCCCCTCCAACCGGGCTTAGCTAGGGCTTTGATACTCCTTTGCCAGGGAGTGTCTACGAAGTCTCACAATTTTCCTCTGAGAGCTCCGGTTTGGGGGCTTTTGCTTCTTGGCGTCTGCTTCTGATTCGGTCTTGTGCTGGCTATGTCTTATATTCTATCCAGGATTGAGAAGAGAAAATCGCGATCGATTTGGGCGGCGGGTGGGTGAATCGTCGAGTTAACGACGACAATCAATGAGACTTTGGCTCTGGTACTCGACTACTCTATCATGTTGTTGAGTATTGAATCAAAGCTTTTTTTTTTCTAGAATCTGACAAAAATCATTGGATCAATGCTCTTCCAAATATGAATGGGTTTCCGCGGATCATTTGTGGTTCTATACAGTTTCCACACCTGCACGAAAAAGCCAAGGGTAATTTCAGTCCAAACCTTTCTGTCCCATCAACAAATCACCAGCAAATTCAGATCAATTACTAATGACCACAGCCATTGACCTAATTGATGAGTATCATAATATCCCACCCGGCCCATAAAAGTCCTCTAGAAATCAGCTCCCCCTCCCCCCCAAGACCCAGGTTAAGACATCACAGCCAAATGACCCACCAACGACCCTTGAAGGTGAGACCTCATCGACCGAGTGGACCATCCTCACCCATCCCCAACTAAGACACAAAAGACAGACACGGTCTCCCTTGACTTTTCCAAGCCCAGTGCCGGCCCCGGCCCACCTTGCCCTGTGTCACAAGGTGTGCCCTTCGCCGCCCTGTTCAGTGGCCACCCCATCGAATCACAGACATCTAGGGGCAAGACATCGATCAATTCCCACCTGAACAGTCCATCCCCAGTCTCTCTGACAATGACCAGCCAATAGATTGTATCCGCACTCCTTCAGCTTAATGCAATTCAGCGTGTGATCGGGAAAGCACCTCGCAAGCTAACCCGGGACTTATCCCACCCTCGTCCTCGAAGGGCTGTTCCGGGTAAGGTCGTGTCCGTCGCCACTGTGGATAAGTCCCAATCTACTATCGATTGCCGCGAGTCCTTGCTCGTCGTCGTTGTTGGTGGAGTTCTCTGCGTGAGTAATATTCATTCATTCGCCTCGGACGGTTGCGTGACTGGAGCTGATTCTCCCTCCTCCCTCCTCCGCACGAGAATTCAGCCAGACAGACCCTTCTTTCGATATCCTGGTCCCGGTTTCGATGAGGGGATGGTGTCCCTTTAAGGGGTCTTGCCACCGACTGTTATTGTTTTGATTTATTGATTCCCTTGACACCCTAGCAACCTGGTGAGACATGGGTCAATTATTGGTTTGGGATTCAGAGACAGGAGTGACTGACTCCTTCGTTCTGGTAGTGGTGGCTCGTAGTGATGTTGCTGAGTTGGCCTTTTTGGTTTCGAAGAACGACTCTTGCATTCTTCTCCGAGGATCAACATATGGTGTGGCGCATTTTGGCCTCGCAATGCGCTTGGTGAGGCTGTTACTGAAAGACATTTTAACATAACATTTTACCTGCGATAAACATTTAGCTCATATTTCGAGACGGTGGACCTGCATAGAGTTGTCCGAGTCGATCAAAAAAGCGTTCAGCGGGGAGACTTTGCCTTGATGGTATTCAACGCCTTTGATCCAAATAGTTGGCGGCTGCACATATCTCGTTTCAAAAACGCGCCAAATACTAATTGGGATGGATTTAATTTTCAAAAGCACCAACATTGGGTGATTTCTATTCTTGATGTCTTTGCAAAGGCAGGCAAACTTCTTGAAATTGTGAGTTTGTGGTATTAGATATTAGATTAACATGATCTTGTAAGTTTCTTTGATATCTGGCATAAGATACCATTTATCTTCTACTTCCTCATACACCTCCAGATTAAGATATCAGCATCGCCCGATAAAATGTAAGCATAGGTATCGGCTTGTCACGCTTGTCGTGTGGATATTATTCCTCATCCACACAGCGGCGACGCACTAAGACATCGCGATAATACTCTCGACATCTCGACCGTAAATATACCGTCTTTTTTTTTCCAGTAAATGGGTTGTGGAACTCCTCGTAGACTTCCTCTCGCTTTATAAACTGCTTTTCATCATATCTAGGGACCTGGTTTTGAATGGACTGAATCTTAGATTCTGAGGGTGAGCGGTCACAGCGAGTACCGGCTGGTAGCCACCCAGGCTGGTTCATTGACTGATTGATTGCTTCCGAATCTTCTCCAGGTTGCTCTTTCTGTAGGTATTTCTTCGTTAGAGAAACAGTCTCGCGTGACTTCAGTCCAATCTCGTCTTTGACTTGGAATTTTGCCATTTTGAAGGCAGTCTCCAAGTATCGGTCTTCAAGCTCTTGATCAATCTCACGCCGCTTAGGTCCGTGAAAGATAGACTTCTTGTATCGCTTCGTAGGCGACTCATCAATCTCTTGTTTCAGATTCCGTACGTCATCGGGGTCCTTGGGAATCGGTTTCTCGCGGAAGGCAGTGAACTGATTTCCCTTGAAGGTCCTTGCATCAAACCGGAAAACGCTGGTCAGGGTGGGGGATTCGAGAGCTGATATGCTTGCTGCAGAAACAACATCGTATGAAGATTCGGAAATATGATCAACTGAAGGAGGTCGACAAATTGGGACAGGTTCATTTCTGAAGACGGGCTCCTGAGTAGAGGGTTGAGAATGGCCCAGGTAATTGATTTTTGTTTGTAGATCGACAATGATTGACTCATCTCGCCGTGGCACCCAGTCTTGGATGGCCCGCTGGTATAGCTTGTCGAGCATCGGTTGGTACCTTTGGTTTGTAAACCAACCATGTTGCAATGCCTGTTTGACATCCATGCGTTCGATCTCGTCCAGAATGAGCAAGCGGTATATAAAATCCGTGGCTTCTTCGCTAGCCCCCAGCGATATAAGTTCATCCTCCAGGATGTCGAGTTCGTCCTGGCCGAAGCGTCTTCCTTCATCGAACGGGCTGTATCCAGCAACGAGGACCGTCGTCACACATCCAAGCGACCATAAATCGATGGCCTTCGTGTATCCGCGGTTGTTCGATCGGCAAACTTCACTTTTAAAACGATCAGTATAAGTCTTCGTAGAAATGAGGGCAATGCTTACGGAGCGCAGTACTCAAGGGTGCCGACGACAGTTGTTGTTCGCTTCGCTGATTTACCGATCACTTTTGCACAGCCGAAATCAGTCAAGACAACCCTGGTTCCGACTTTGAGAGAGGTCAGCATAATGTTGTCTGGCTTGATATCCCTGTGTATAATGTTCTGATCGTGTAGGTATTCCACCGCGAGCAGAACCTGGCGAGTGATTGCAGCCGCCGTGAGATCTTCAAGTCGCCCTCCTTTGTACTTGATGAACGAGAAAAGATCTCCTCCCGAGAGAAGCTCCGAAATGATGTACCTAAAATGGTCAGGCAAGCAATTTTTGTTCTCGGGTCAATCCTGAAACTGACATTGTGTTGTCCGACCGAAAGGCCTTCTCGAGAGTGATGATGTTTGGCTGCGCGACGATTTAGAATCTGGCGACGACAATGAACATCGAATCTGATGGTGAGGACTCACATGAGACAAATTTGCCAGTATTATTGCCTCTCGCTGGTTGCGTTCCAGTCTATCATTCATCATTCTGTCCAACCCGGCTTTTCGGGGCTTGGTGAGCTTGAGCGAAACACTGTTGAAAAATTTGGAGTCCTGGTCCTGGTGTTCCTCCTCGTTGTCGGAGTCGTGGGCCCTAGCCTTGAGGTTGATCATCTTGCAGGCAAACTGCCTTCCTGTGCCTTCTTGGACAGACATATGGACTCGACCGTAGGCACCGAAGCCCAGAACTCGGGGGGTCACAAGGTATTGGTGTCGGAATTGCTGGAATCATGATTAGATAAATTTCGATCAGATAACCCGATATAGAGGCTGACTTGAATCTCGTTCATTTGGATATCACTAAAGCATCGGTCACTAACACAGGTCGCCGAGTTGAATCGAATAGAAATGTCGCGAGTAATCGAAAGCACGTCGTCTTGGCGGAGGAGAAAACCGCCATTTCCGATACCCATGAGGTGACCGTTTAGCAAAGTCCCATTCCGAGACAAGTCTTCGGCATACACTAGTGGAGCCACATCGTACGACACGTCCTGGTCGAAGATAATGGTGTAGATTCGAATGTGGGTGTTTGAGACGTAGGGATCGGGAATCTCGTACTGGCTATAATGGGAAAATGTGTTGGAATTAAGCGACATGAGAGAATTGAGAAGGCTGTACTCACCAGAGGCGTGCACTTCGACCAATCATGATCTCTTCGTTGCTGTATATCTCAAATTGATCGCTGACCTGCTGAGTTTTCGCGTTCAAGCGAACGAAGGTGCCTACCCGAGTACCTCTATCTCTCGGTGAAGAGTGGTAAGCAGATGGTCGGTCCATGGTTGAATATGATAGATAAAGGTGACGAGTTGATCTTCATGTGTTGTAAATTAAAAAAGCAGAGCTCAGGTGGATGCAGAGGTTGAGGAGAGAGGAAAGGTTGAGTGAGGAAGTGATTGAGTGAGTGGGTGAAGTGGGAAGGAACAGGATTGGGATAGGAGGGTGACTTCCTAACCTTAAACGTTGGGCGGATTACGTTGGCAATTGGAAGCTTACCTTATGTAGTACTAGTAGTACTGTGAGCTACTAGTAAGTAGTATTAGTTGTGAATACTAGGTAAGAAATTGTGAATAGCTGGTGCCTTCCATAGAATGCCAGGGTTGCAACAACCGCAATGTATCTCGTCATCGCCGTACTCTGGATTCATTCTGCATTTATATTACGGTATTTAAGCTTATATAGTATTCAAATAGAGTAGAATTTAGTCTCTGCAGTATTTATAGGAATTTCCTCAAGCTGCCTTACGTGTAAATGGTAGTACATCTAGCAACACAAAAGGAGAGGATGTCTGTAGAACAAAGCAATGCATGCTGCAGGGCAAACCCCAAGACATTCAAGTTGCAGGTGATTTATTTTCTTTCGCTATGGTGAATGAGGAACTATTTATGGTTTGGACTATGTGTTTTGCCTTGCTACCGTGACTGCCAGTAGCACTGGCAGGCACTCTTCCGAGACTCGGACATAAATACTAGTACTAGTATTAGTCCCTATAAACCAAAACAAACTTCAAGAAGTTGTGCGAAAGTATACGTTCATGGCTCATCAAAATTCCTATGCAATAATTCTAAGGATATTCATGCAGACACAACGCTAGAAAAACGACTCTAAATGAGTATGAAAAACCGATCTAATTGTTTTGCATCCGCCGGAAACGCTCTTCGGCTGCTCTGGCTCTCCGCTCTCGCTCTAATCGCATCCTCATCTCTGGAGTCATCCCTCGAGTCTCTTCGTCGCGTTTCTCCGCACCGGTTTTCTCCACTGCTCCTAGGGCCCGACCACCCTTGCTGGCCCTTTGGTGTGCTTCTCTCTCGGCATCTTCTTTCTTCAGTCGCTCCAAATCTAATTTTCGACGACTAGTCTCCTCCTCTTCAGCGGCCTTCTTCTCCCGTTCGGCCCTACTATCTGCATCTGTCTTTGATACCGCAGATGGCACCTTTGCCATGGCCCAGTCCCATTTCGATTCACCTAGCTCGTGACGGGAAATACGGAAGGCATCACGCGTCGGGCGGTCTCCGGCCAATTCAAACGGTGTACGTCCTTCGCCGTTGGCAATTGTCGGGTCTGCTCCAGCCCTTGTGAGGAGGGCAGCAACAACCGCCGGAGCGTCTAGGTTGGCAGCAAGGTGAAGAGGGGTCGGAGAACGGAAGTTCTGGGTTGAGTCGGCAGGTGTGAAAGTAAATGACGAAGGAATGGAGTTGTTTGAGAGGTAAGACATTAAAGCGGGGACCTTGGAGCGACGAATCAAGGCCTGGACTTGCGAGGTATGTAACAAGGCCTCTTCTTCCTCCTTGGATAGTTTTGGCTTTTGTGGCTGCGGACGTGGCGTCGAGGGCTTCGATTCTTCCTTCTTCTTCGCCTCGGCTGCGGCTGCGGCAGCAGCCAGTGCGGCCTCGTCAATTTCACTGACCTTTACGCGGGTCAACTCCTTGAAACATCTCATAAGCTCTCCTTGCGTGGCCCGGCGAGTGTTGAAGGGGAACCCTCTCAGTCGTGGGTCATTCTGCTTGAGAACGTGGTTGTCGTACTTCTCGAAGAGAATTCTCTTATTCGTCTTTCCTGTGGCGCGGATGAATAGCAGTTCCGAGCTGTCAATCATCTCTTTCCAGTCCGCAAGTAGCTCTCGAATATCCTTCTCAAGAGCTGCTTCATTGTATCGACGCAAACTGGAACCGGCAGAGTGGGCAGCTCCCCGTGACGCATCGCTAGCAGATTGAGAGCCACCCTGTTTGCGTCGAGTGGTATAGCGATGGAAGGTCTTGTGCGCAATTACTCTGGCTTGTCTTTCCTCCACTCCGCCTTGTTTGCGGTGGATCTCGGGGGCGAGGGAAACCAGCATTGCGGCAAAATGACCACCGCCAATCATACACATGAAGATGTGAGGACTAGAGTCTGGGGGGCTCTGTTGAGCCTGTGCCTTATTTGTGCGCGCCTTGATGGGAGCCAATTGCTTTCTCCGTAGGGTGTCCACCAAATGGCCAGGCTCATCTTGTTCAATATTGGAGAAAATCGCCCGGTAGACGCCCAGTGACTTGTTGGATGGGAGACCGGAACTGGACAGCCAGAAAAGCGGTTGTTTCGCTGTCCCTCCTTGCACGGTATTTGTTGCCTCTTCGGGTGACCCGGAGAGCTTCGCTTGTCGTTTCAGCAGGGCCGTGAGTGTTGTGTCGGTGCCGCCCTCGGCTTCATCATCGTCTGACTCTGAAGACTCTGATCCGGATATAGACTCGTCCAGCTCCCCCACAGCTTTAACAAATTGAGCCTCATCGAGGGGTGCATTGCCCCTCAGTTGGGTCTTGATGTTATATCGGTGGTGGTCAGATCTGACATGACCTCGTTGCTCCTCCACATTTCGGTAGGTGACGTTGCAGAGGGAGCATAATGTCGAAGATGCGATCGCGGATTCTTGCGCCGCAAGCTCAGGGTCTTCGGGAGTGGGTTCGGGGGTCTTCTCAGCGATCTCTTGGGTTCCGGTTTTTGTGGTCAAAGTTGAAAGAAGCTCCTGTGGGAGATCATATACTGCAAGCAGCAGATTAGTGAAAGAACACAAGCAGAGCGTGGTAGAGATGCGCACCATAGAGAGGTCTCTTAAGGAGCTCCTCGACGCGAGGATCCGCCATGGCTGGTAAAGTGTGGAATGTACAGAGTATGCGTGAGTGTAAACCCCTCCAATATGACGATGGTCTCTTTTACTGCCGGGCGGGGAGCTGCTTTTATGCGCAGGTGGGGCCGCCTCAATGCGGTCCCCGCGGCTCAGCCTCTTCCATTTGACTCATACTGCCTCAGCCCCGTTCATTTACGAGGCGATAACTTGAATGCGATCCATATACTCGGAATGATTCATAGTGATCATGATCACTCAGCTAAGGGCAGGCAAAAGGTTGCTTCCTCCGTGAGACTTCATAGTTCATACTAGTCTCTCGACCATTTCAAGCAAGATGACAAATTAGAAAATAAAGAATAGCATGGACACTCAGACTTGTAAACATGCGTCATTCAAGCTATCCATCTTGTCTACGATAGACTCGGATCGGTATTTCAACTAGTTTATGGAATCACAATCTACCAGTACTTCCAGCGTCCCCACCGTATCTTCCAGCTCCAAATAATATGAGCGAAGTAGTTCAAGGATCACTTTATAGATCTTGCAAATAGACACCTCACAGATTGCTATTACATGGAGGATTTTATCTTCTGCATGGACACAGCGCATTCTTGCCTATGCACATTCTTGGTCCTGTACTAGACTATCATACTATCATCAGCAATGCTCAACCCGGAACCGCAGTGGACTCACCTATATGATATCCTTGTTCATTTTTTAGCCTCGGCCTTGAGCCACCGATCTGACATCTTGCTTTGAAACACGCTAGTGTGACATGCATGACAAGCTGGCTTTCTATCATCGTGGAGCTCCTAATTCGTGCAATTGTTTTATGCTCTGCACTCAGGTCTGTGGTGGTCTTCGGACCCACACCTCCTTGTCTGTACTGCCAGGGATCTCATCGGTTTCAAGCGATGGGGGGTCCCGCAACTCAATGTCCCATAAACTAAGTTTGTGGCTACCTCGGTCTCCCTTTCCAGTGAAGAGGTCAAACCTCCAGCCATGTCTAAAGCATCTAATTCCAGCACCGAGGTCTTCAATATCGAAAACGTTGCCTTGTTTTAACGGAAATGCAGAATGGGGACATTGCTGACGCAAGGTTAGCCTTCATTCTGAGAAAGGGCTGGTTGTAAGTATCGGACAGACATTATCGATTGCGTGTAGAAATCCCTTATACTTGAACACAAGTACTTGGTCACTGAGATCTGAAAAGCGATTTCCTCGCGATTTCTCGGGATCATCTGTCTTGGGAATACTGAGCGTCTTGCATCCAGACAAAACCCGGCAGCCTTTTTCATCCTGGCCAATGTCTCGGAAAGCAGACACGGGACCAACTAAATGCCAATCCTCTGGTTTATTTTGTTCCTTCGAGATCTCCATCGTGCACGCATGAAGCGTTATGCTCTTTCTCTATGTGATCGGATATTAATAGCCCGGATCGGCGAATGCTTCTATAGCCGAGCTGGTCGGTCGGCAAGCCACCGATTTCCGAGATTGGACCACGCATTTCACCACAGTGAACTTTGAAGATATAGATTAAAGAGACAATATATCAAGATAAAGACATCCCCCTCAGGTCGAAATTTGTTTTTAAGTCAAGCAATGCTGGAGAATTCGGCCAAAACTATCAACGACTTTGCCATCGCCCACTTCGCCCGCTGAGAGGCCCCTTCCTCATCTCTCGATGATGGTAGAAAGCCAGGGGTTTCCTGATCAAGTGAATTAATGAAGGAGATTTGAAGCTAACTCTCGCAACAATAATTCTATCCTTGCCAGGGGGAGTAGCCATCCAGTAAACAGAATCGGTGAGGCGGTGAAGTGACTTGCAGTGTACCAATCTACCTGGGCATGACTAGGAATTCGATTCCAAGGTTCACAGCGATAATAAATTCCAAAGGCGATGGTCTGTCCGATAACTAGTACTATGTTACAAAACATGTTTGTCTCACGCTTGTTATAAGAACGTGGTCGACGCGACTTGAAACACGTGAATGTCTCGAGATGGCGTCATCCCTGCCGCATGGCCGCCATCTGGCTTTCCCGGGTTTCGGTTGGATGAGCTGGTCAGGCAAGCATTCCAAGGTTACTAGCGCGGTAAAATGAAGCTTGGCAGAGAGGTTCTCTGATGAAGCGTGAAAGGGGGGTGTTGGTGAAAAACGACTCAGAAGTAAAGCCTGGAGTGGCCTTGGAAACTGCGTAGAAAAAGTAAAGTGATGTGGGTCTATACATATATATTGGCACCTGGGGCAGTTTTATATAGTACCAAGCAAACCAATTACTGTCAAAACCTTCACCGAAGATACTTATTTTTCTATCGCATACTACAACTCGATTAAACTCAACTAAAGAACTAAGATCGACCAATAGCAAGAGCCTAAATGAAGATGATGAATTGGGGGATCTGATTTGATGCCGTTTGCATAGTATCACCATCACGTGACTTGGGATACCAGATGCGGGTTCGGAGTCCGCTTTTTGGACTCATCGGTGATAGTATTGTTCAGGTTCATTCCAGCTGCTTTCAATAACAGAAGAATGGATTCCTAGCACCAAGTCAAAACTGTCCCGACCCATTCAAACAGTGGAACCAACTGGTGGGGCGTCCGCCCGGATTTACGCATTTTGGAAAGCGTCAGAAGTTCGGCTTTTAGTAAGCAGCCTGGAAAGCTCTCCGACACCGCCGCCTCCTCTCTTCTTCCCTTAAGTTGAAGTTCTTCTGGTTCCTGAACTACAAGGTCAAACAGGGCGTCTGTTGTCGCATGACTGCAAGATGTTAGATGGCAATTCCCAGGTGCCCCTGGGGGTTTCCTACCCAGGGAACCATTCGCAGTCGCAGTCTCAGTCACACCTGGACTCGGCTTTAAGTTTCCAACATCATCCACACCCGCAACATGCCTTCTGCAGCGATGCTGAGGGCTGGGGTCCGTTGAGCCCACTGGGCTTCCACCTCACTCCGTGCTTTATAGATGCGATCGTGGCCCTTGTCGCTATTTGGGGCACACTGGGCGGCGCAGGCGCGCTCTATCTCCTACTGAAGAAGCGTATTCCCCAACCTGTCTCGAAGAATTGGCACTTCTATGCCAAGCTGGTATGTCGATCCCCACAGAGCTTCACCCGGGCTGCCATCTCGGGAAAATACATGAAACTGCATGTACTAATCATTCTTCATTTCTATAGGCTGTCCTCGCCGCACTCCTCTTCGTCACGGCCCTTCAAACAGCCGTGCAAGCCGAAACCCAGCCGAAGACCTTTTTTGCCGACTTCCGTTTCTGGTCCTCGCTCCTCACGTTTGCCTCCTTGGGCGTCATCTTTGCGGTGCAATATTATGAGCATTGGCGGAGTCGCCAGCCTAACGGCGTGGTTCTCTTTTACTGGCTCTTCTTCAATATCGCCTATGCGATCAAGCTGCATTCCCTCGTCGACCGGAAGGATTATGTGGACCAGCTCCCATACTTTGTCTGCATCAACATCAGTCTAGGACTTGGGCTGCTAGAGTTTATTCTGGAATACTTTATCGCCAAAAAGAAGAGTGCGTACGATGCCCTTGGCGACGAGGATGAATGCCCTTACAACTACGCGGATATTTTCTCAGTTCTCACCTTCGGTTGGATGACACCGCTGATGAAGTTTGGATATGAAAATTACCTTACCCAGGATGACCTTTGGAACCTTCGTCGCCGAGACGCTACTCGTGCTACTCTCGATAGCCTAAGCCAGGCATGGGAGGAGGAACTCGACAAGAAGAAGCCGTCCCTGTGGATCGCTCTCTTCAAGGCATTCGGTGGTCCATACATCCGTGGTACAATCATTAAATCGGCTAGCGACATGCTTGCCTTTGTTCAGCCGCAGCTTCTTCGTTATTTGATCGCTTTCATTGATTCATACCGACGCCCGGATCCACAACCGGTCATCCGAGGCGTTGCGATCGCACTGGCAATGTTTTTCGTGTCCGTCTGTCAGACCAGCTGTCTCCACCAGTACTTCCAACGTGCTTTCGATACAGGCATGCGCGTCAAGTCGTCTCTGACTGCTTTGATCTATTCGAAGGCCCTCCGTCTCTCCAGCGAAGGTCGTGCCACCAAGACTACTGGCGACATCGTCAATCACATGGCCGTGGATCAGCAGCGACTCGCTGACCTCACCCAATTTGGTACACAGTTGTTATCTGCCCCCTTTCAAATCGTCCTCTGTATGCTGTCACTCTACCAGCTTGTCGGGCCAAGCATGTTTGCTGGTGTCGGTGTTATGATTCTCATGATCCCACTGAACGGTGTCATCGCTAGAATGATGAAGAAGCTCCAGATCAAGCAGATGAAGAACAAGGATTCGCGTACTCGCCTGATGACTGAAATCTTGAACAATATTAAGAGCATCAAGCTCTATGCCTGGAACACTGCATTCATGAACAAGCTCAGTCACATTCGAAATGATCTTGAACTGAACACACTCCGCAAGATTGGTGCGACCCAGTCTATTGCAAACTTCACTTGGCAGTCTACCCCCTTTCTTGTGTCCTGCTCGACCTTCACCGTCTTTGTCCTTACCAGTGACAAGCCCCTGACCACCGAGATCGTCTTCCCTGCCCTGACTCTATTCAACCTACTCACATTCCCCTGTCGATCTTACCGATGGTCATTACCTCTGTAATTGAGTCAACCGTGGCTGTGCAACGTCTCGTGGATTATTTTACCGCAGAGGAACTGCAGACCGAGTCTGTCGTTTTCCAGGACCCTGTCGAACATACTGGTGACGAGTCAGTCCGCGTTCGTGATGCTTCATGGACTTGGAACCGTCATAGCGGAGTCCCGGTCCTCGAAAATATCGATTTGAGCGCCCGCAAAGGTGAGCTTAGCTGCATCGTTGGCCGTGTCGGCGCAGGAAAGTCTTCCCTGCTCCAAGCACTTCTGGGAGAACTTTGGAAGAACCATGGTGAAGTTGTTGTGCGTGGACGTGTCGCGTACGTCGCCCAGGCACCCTGGGTGATGAATGCTAGTGTTCGTGAGAACATTGTATTTGGTCACCGATGGGACCCAGCCTTCTACGAACTGACGGTCGAGGCCTGTGCTTTGATCGATGACTTTAAGATCATGCCCGATGGTGATCAGACAGAAGTCGGAGAGCGTGGTATCTCACTCTCTGGAGGACAGAAGGCACGTTTGACACTCGCAAGAGCAGTATATGCACGTGCCGATATCTACCTCCTAGACGATGTTCTTTCTGCCGTGGATCAGCACGTCGGTCGCCACATCATCAACAAGGTTCTCGGTAGCTCTGGTATTTTGGCTGGAAAGACAAGAATCTTGGCTACCAACGCTATCACCGTCCTCAAAGAAGCGGACTTCATTGGCCTGCTGCGTGACAAGACTATCATTGAAAAGGGTACATATGAACAACTGATGGCAATGAAGGGCGAAATCTCCAATCTTGTGAAGACCAACCTTGCCGAATCAGACGACGAACGCTCTGATGCATCCGACGATGATCTGGCCAGCCCTGGAAACTCCGAGTCTACTGCTGTGCTTGATGATGAAGAGGACCCCGACAGTGAAGAACTCGAGCAGCCGGGCTCTCTCGTCCCCATTAAGAGTGGGCGTAGTCCCCAGCGCAAGGCTAGCCATGTTACTCTGCGGCGAGCCAGTACTGCAACCTGGCAGGGCCCACGTCGCAAGCTGGGAGATGAAGAAAACATTCTCAAGAGCAAGCAGACCCAAGAGACCTCTCAACAAGGCAAAGTTAAATGGAGCGTCTACGGAGAATACGCCAAGAATAGCAACATTGTGGCGGTCTCGTTCTACTTGCTGGCTCTTCTGCTTTCGCAAACCGCCCAAGTACTTGGAAACTTCTGGCTGAAGAGCTGGACGGAAGCTAACGAGGCACATGGCGCAAATGCTAGTGTCGGCAAGTTCATTGGTGTCTATCTAGCCTTTGGTCTGGGCTCGTCTCTCCTCGTCATCGTCCAAAACTTGATTCTCTGGATTTTCTGCTCCATCGAGGCTTCTCGCAAACTCCACGAGCGCATGGCTTTTGCCATTTTCCGCTCTCCTATGAGCTTCTTCGAGACAACCCCATCAGGTCGCATCCTGAACAGATTCTCTAGCGATGTGTACCGTGTCGATGAGGTCCTTGCGCGTACCTTTAACATGCTCTTCGCCAACGCTGCTCGCGCCGTTTTCACCATGACTGTCATTTGTACATCGACCCCAGCTTTCTTGCTATTCGTTCTCCCTCTGGGCTGGGTCTATCTCAGTTATCAAAAATACTACTTGCGAACTTCTCGTGAGTTGAAGCGTCTGGACAGTGTCACTCGAAGCCCCATCTTTGCCCATTTTCAGGAATCGCTCGGTGGTATTTGTACTATCCGTGCCTACAAACAGGAAAACCGCTTTGCCCTTGAGAACGAATGGCGCATGGATGCCAACTTGCGTGCTTACTTCCCATCTATCAGTGCAAACAGATGGCTGGCCGTGAGGCTGGAATTCATTGGTTCCATCATCATCCTGGCCTCCGCTGGACTTGCCATTCTCTCCGTTGCAAGTGGCAGCGGCATCACCGCGGGTATGGTCGGTTTGGCCATGTCATATGCTCTTCAAATCACACAGTCCTTGAACTGGATCGTTCGCCAAACTGTTGAGGTCGAGACCAATATCGTGTCTGTTGAGCGAGTGCTGGAGTATGCGAACCTTCCTAGCGAGGCCCCTGAAGTTATCTTCAAGCGTCGTCCTGCCATCGGCTGGCCTGCTCAGGGTTCTGTCTCCTTCAAGAACTACAGCACCCGCTATCGCGAGGGCCTTGACCTGGTCCTCAAGGACATCACCCTCGACATCAAACCCCATGAAAAGATTGGAGTTGTCGGACGAACTGGTGCTGGAAAGAGTTCTCTCACTCTGGCTCTGTTCCGAATCATCGAGGCAACCAGTGGCAGCATTGAGTAAGTTTTGATTCGTGGATCATATTATATCTAAGGTCTTTAACTGACGTGTATATAGCATTGACGGGCTTGATGTTTCGAAGACTGGCCTCTTCGACCTCCGCGGTCGCCTAGCTATCATCCCTCAGGACCCTGCCATGTTTGAGGGTACTCTGCGCGACAACCTGGACCCCCGACACGTTCATGATGACACAGAGCTCTGGAGCGTACTAGGTATGGATATATTACTGTTCTACCCGATATTTCCAATGGAGCAATACTAACTGCATTATCATAGACCATGCCAAGCTCAAGGAGCACGTCGCCCAGATGGATGGCCAGCTCGACACTCAAATCCAAGAAGGTGGCTCCAACCTGAGTCAAGGCCAGCGCCAGCTGGTTTCTTCTCGCCCGTGCTTTGCTCACACCAAGCAATATCCTGGTTTTGGACGAGGCGACCGCGGCAGTGGACGTGGAGACAGATGCACTGCTGCAGCGCACGTTACGCAGCAGCATCTTCCAGGACCGTACTATCATCACCATTGCGCATCGTATCAACACGATCATTGATTCCGATCGCATTATTGTCTTGGACAAGGGCCGTGTTGCTGAATTCGACACTCCCGCTGAATTAGTGAAGCGCGGTGGCCGCTTCTACGACCTCGCGAAGGAGGCAGGCCTGTTGGACAGCGATGGCATCGCAGGCTCCTCTCAATAACGACAAGCATACCGGGGTTTGACTAGCACTGATTAAGTTCACGCGTCATGTGGCAATGGGTCTTCAGCTAGCCTGTTCACACCTACGCACCCAAGGAGGCGTCAAGCCTTCGTAATCTGAATGGCTCGGGGAGCCCGGGCCTGATCTGGACCACTCGGTCCGATCGCTAAGTCAGTCTACATTCCGAGTGTCCAATCACATACTGCCTGCATGGGTCATGTTTCTTGTCTGCTTGTCTTGTCCATTTCCGACCGCATTGAGAGGTCCTGCGTGTGGCGCAGGCTGTTTGTGCATGGATGACCAATTTGCTCCAATACGGGAAGGCGCTTCTTCGAATGCAATACCCCGGTCATCTCATCCTCGCACACCCTTGACAGGGGCAAGAGTTGCAGCAAACATGGCCCAAAGATTTCTGAAAAATTTACGCAAGACAAACAACCCCATTCAGCCCCCCTCCGTAGCCATCCTGTGTTTCAATTATCTTGCGCCTTCAATGCAACATGATCGAATGCGACTGATTGGCTTGACAACTCGCTTGGTCAGAAAAGTGCTTTGTCATTCCCCTGCCCCTTTTGTTATTGGAACCGATATTGCGGTCCTTGTACAGCGTTATTTTGCTTTGTTTCATGTTTTTGTACTTTGTGCATACACCACCCCTGAAGCACATATGGGAGAAGAGAAGAAAAATTTCGATCAGTTTGTCGGTGTCCAGAGGATGACAACAACAAAACGTTAGTTGCATATACAGAATGACATAATTCCAATTGGCGCCTTGCAAATCCAGTTTCGCCAGCGTTTCTTGCAGTAGTGTCGAGGACCAAACATGGCGGTGTCAATTTGATATCAAAGCCTTGAAGGATTTTCTTCCATCAGCGTCAACTAGCTGGGCATATTTGGGGTCGGTTGTAGCGGTGAACAATCCCTGCCACCTGGCCGCCCGCCACGGCGCCTGCAGTCCAACAGAGGTGATACTAGACTAAGTACAAAGCACCCATGCAGAGACATGAAAAATTTTCAACTCATGAAGTTTCTGCGGGGAAGTTTGGAGCGAGTTCACACCCGAACTCACCATACCTGCAGCGATTCCCACACAGTCCAGACATGGCTATCTGCAACCGCCACCAGAAGTTCCACCTTTCCTTCAAAGCTCGAGCCAGCGTTCATGTTCTAAGAATAAATCCGGAAAGCACTTACAATTCTCGCCGATGATGGCTTGAGTATAGTGGCTATGTATGTTATTACGGGGAAATAATTCTGCCTATACGCAATCAATAGTGGCAAACGACATCCCTTGCCGGAGGCTACGTATCTGCGTAGTATCTGCGGACGGAGTCCTTCCACGCGACGAAATATGCACTGAATTGTAAGCACACACATATTCGTATATGTGCAATATAGGTGCCATTACTAGTAGCAGGTAGTGAATATGCAGGAGCCAGGAGAAGGTCGAGCGATTTGGATTCACCTCCGATGCGATTTCCGATTAACTTCGATGTACAATTCGGAGGAGGCAAATTCTAACTTCTCCCTTTGGAAAGAGAATGAGCAGTGAATCGAGTTGTCGAAGGGGTTGCACAAGTGAGTAATCTGATCGGAAATTCTAATTTTGTGGTGTGCATACGTAACTGAATCTTGAAGGGTGCCATGGAGAAAGTCGCATGGTTCCTGAGTCTGAACGGAGGGATTCGGTCCACAAAAAGTGACCAGTTCAATATATCAAGTCTGGTGTGGGACAGTGTTGCATGTCAAATTATTTTGTGTGGTTCAGGACCTAGTGAGATGCTCTCCTGGCCCTCCGCTCCGTTTGGTCATGCATCTCTTCGTTATGGAGTGCATGTATGAAGGTACCTTCTTCGGGAACACCTTTTACCCAATGAGTGTTGCTGGGGACTTGAAAGCATGATTGGTCAGGCCAATAGAAGTGGTACGGAAGCAAGCTCCCTCTCGCTTGGACAAGGCTCGTTTCAGCTATCGAGGGCCCAGGCAAGGGGATCGGAGGTAGGGGTCAGTGCTTAATCCTCGGGGAAACGTCGAGTGCGTTCCCCAATCTGATCAAAAAGGGACAGAGTACGCCGATGATCCAATCAGGGCCTCCGTACCCGAGATCGCAGGTGACTCGGCAATATCAGGACTGTCATGTCCAGAGCCAAAATGCCTAATTCGATAGCAGGTCAATCTCGCATGGTTACTCTGCAATATCATCCAACCGATACTACTCGCGCTGACCGGCGGGGTTGGTCAGTTGATGCGTTGATCTTGAAACCGTTGCCTTTCTTGCTCTGCAAAGATACAGCCGAGCATGTCCGAGTGCGGGGAATTTATTCTTTTGTACGAGGTACACAAATGCTATTTTTTCTTCCTCTCATCGAAGATCTGATGACTAGATGGTTGATTGTGTGACGCTGCACGAATTTACTCACCATGTTCCTGACAAGAAACCGGAATTCCCGACGATTAGACGGGCCTCCCCACATTCATCTGACCGAGCTGCATGGCTATGGTGGTAGAGTGGTTCTTACTGTAGAGTACTTTGTGCCTGCAGATAAAAATCAAGGATGTGAACGCAGCCACCAACAAGGTCCGTGAATCGCCGTCATAAGCCAGCAGCCGCATTGGGCGAACCTGGTACACGGTACCAGGTCCAGCCAGCCTCATAATATTCCCCTCTCGATCGACTAGAATCCTGTTCTACGAGTTGCTAGAATATATGGAGACGTTGCACAGCGTCTGCAGAGACGTCTATCAACAGCATCCTGAAGTATGATTTGCATTAACCCCGGGTCCGGGGCCGCAATCCACGATGGAAACTCGGTCTCCTTCATACTTTGTGAGATCTTCCTTTCAGCCCTGGCCTGGTGGGGAAAGGAGGGGCACACGCCGCACACAATGGGAGGGACAATCGTCTTCTTCCTAGCTGCATACCCACGGGTCCAGATACAGGGATGCTGATGCATATGATCCGCGATGAGAACCCGGACTGCGGATTCAGAGCTCAGATCTTGCTAGAAAGCTTACGCCAAGATCCTTTTGTGGTGAGATCTTTTTATTTCGCTACCGCGATATGCTTTCGGGGCTGCCACTGTGCCTCCGCATTGGCATGCTCTTTCCGAGTACCTTGCATCGGCGAATTCGATCGTACAACAGGTGCAGGTTCTTCCCCGGCTGCGTGAGCGAGTTGCCTTTGACAAAAAGTGGATGTTCACTATTGTGGCAGGTACTACGATAGTATACCTAGGTATTCTGTGGAACCGAGTGGGTTATTGTGTGGATACAGTTCTTCATATCCCGCAGTTTTTCAATGAGCACCCGAGGAAACGAATATCGCCGAAGAAGAATTTTCTAAACGAACCCAATCTGGATTAGATATTTGTTACCGAGCAGGTAAAATTTGGCAAATGGAGTAACAGTCCACGGGTTCGCATCAGACTCCATTATTTTCTGCTAGATTCCATCATCCCAGCCACCGATCGCTCGCGTGGGCCGGGCCTCCCCGGCAAAGTGGGAACAGCATTCCGGCGCGCTGGGAACAGGGAAATCCTGGATGACGAAGCTACAAATTTAGACTGCTTTTTTTTGTTAGGCCTATTTCGGTGTTATATCTGGACGCAAAACTGTCATTGGATTCCAAGAAGCGCATGATTCAAGGATTTGGACGAGGTCCCAGCCATCATGAGGCAGAATGACATTGTTTCAGCCACTCAGAAGCTGCACCCTTCGATCGGGCGCGCGGGGAGGAAGATCTCAGGGACGATCTCGTCCACTGTTTCGGGAAATTTGTCCGTGGCTGCAGTGGTGTGCATTTATATTTCAAATCTGCTTTCTGCTTTGCCAGTGGGAGGCTTGCATTTGGCGTGTTGGTGGATGGGTGGAGATGCGATTAGCTCTGCTAGAAGGGCGGAATGTTCGTCCCGTCTGATTTACCAACCTAAGAAAGAGTTACATATTGCGGACCGTCGATTATGCACACCATGGCAGCATCGGTTATCCAGCCTGGTGGGTTTCCAATGCACAGGAAGCTTTCGAGGATGAAGCCACGGGGAACCTTTTAGCGTCACCGGAGAGTTTCCACCATTGCCGTATTGAGAGTTAGGGTATGGACAGTGCGATGGACTAAGCTCTGATGATTGGCTGAGAATTGAAGGTCCGCGCCAGACGAGCTGCGAAGATCAGTAAGAGATCAATGCGAGACTCAGGATGGGGTGGGATTCGCTCAAGGACTGTGGGTGGCCGCGGGTCTCCAGTTTGGCTATCCAGGTAACTGGGACGGGGATCCCTCCGACGGGGTCTTCTCCCATTGTGCTGTCCCCTTGGTACCACTATGATCCACCTGTAGTGTGAGCTAGGATTCAAAGGGGTATTAGTGGATGTACGTCTGCCGAGGTACGGATACATGCCTTGTATACCCTCCAAGGTTTTGATCTATATCGTTTATAGACATGCATCAACCATCTCGCCCAAACACATGGCAGCCCCTCTCCCTTCCAACCCGCATACTGCGAACGATGTCCATGTGGAGAATCAGGAATGAACTGCGCACGGAGTCGTTTTCCGTGGTCACCTTGAAGCAAGGGCGGGTTCACTTTCAACGCCATCCCAAGCGGAGGTCGAAGCGAGGCCGATCCCAAGGCCCAGGCCCACTAGATTCCACCAGAGTGACCCGGCATCATGGTGCAGCAGCGGTGGTATTAAAAAGGTAAAAAAGGGCCGTGAATTTCGTACTTTCTTCATAAGCTTCGGTGCGGGCAAGGACCAGGTGTCATTTCCCACGCGGTCGGGCTCTGAGAGCGCCCCAATTCTTCCCCTTTCCCACACCCGCATCACCCGCGAGAGCTAATCGCGAGGTAGTTGGCTTCAAAATGGCTTTTGCCGGCAATAGTGAGGCGAACTCTGATCATCATTGGCGTATCAAGCTGCAAAGCGCTTATAATGGCCAGGGGTAAGTGCGTAACCTTGGAGACTCTCGATCGAACAAATGTACGGGTTGCATTGTCTTGATGCAGCGAAGGCATGGAAAACTAAATTAGTACTTCGTACAATAGCCACGTACCCTCAACATTGCAGCTGTGATCCTTTAATTCAATACTCCCTAAAAATATCCAATATATCCCTGCAGGGCCCAATGCCCTAACGGAGAGAAGATATGTGCATGGGTTGCAGTAGGGCTGCTGACTGTGGGAAACCCTAATTCCGCGGGCCGGGCCATAATGCAGTCTTGGAGTGCTCCGTAATGAAGTGCCATTGGAATTATTGCCTGCGGTTTCAGCTTTGCTTTTTGCTGAATCAGTCTTCTGGGTCTCGCTAGTTACAGTACGTAATCGTGAATTTGTCACTCAATAGTATCGAGAGCCTCATACTAGTTCCGAAGTCATGTGCTCTCGTATTTCCTCGCTCGGCCCCCAGCCTGGCCGGGGAAAGCTGCTCGCAGTGCAATACTAATCTATCGTTAGCAAAGGGTGAACAGAAACCTGCGTGCATACAAATGTACATAGCGTAGCGTATAAGGTGTCCGTCAACCTCATTCCCCTACCACTGGATCCACCAGCAAATTTGAGAAAGGGGAAGCTGGCTTGCATGAACATTGGCTGCTTCACTACAAAATCCTCCTCGATCGTCGGCTCTAGACTAATGATAGTCCGTACTTTTGGAAATTGTCGTACTTTGCGACCGTATCGAGTACGGGATATCTCGCTGATCGAAGCCTCGCGAGAATAGAATCGCTTCCTGAAACCGCCATAGATGAGAATCTGCCTCCCCATGGTGTGTTTGATGTGAGATCAAGGTCACACGCAGTATCTTTGGCGGTCGAGTTTCCAGAATTGGACGGTTCCTGGGCGCGGATGATCGATGATAGGACCTTCTGGCTGGGTTCAGGTGGAGCAGTCTCCATGCAGCCGGGCCCTTTTGACAGCCCACTAGTTGACTAGCGTCTCCGGTCCGAGAATCCGCGGGCCGGTGGCTCCTGGGAGGAGCAGTTTCTCGTTAATGGCTGGTCAGTGCTCCTTGTAGACCCGCATCACCTTAGTGGAGACGACGCCGGTCCCAATTCTAGCCCAATAGTAGGCTTGAAAACAAAAGCACCGCAAATCTCTTGCCGCTCTTAGCTCATCCCAGCTGACACAAAGAACTCCCCCATCAATTTATTTCTCCCCTGGTCCAACAACCCC